AAGAATATTGAATAGATATAAGAAGATGTGGTATGAGTGCCAATGAGACAACTCTCCATCCAAGTCAAAATTTATAAAAGTAAACCATTATAGGTCAAAGTACGGTCTTCAACACGGAGCCTTGGCTCACACCGAACAGCAAGCTATAAAGGGCCCCAAAAATTACTAGTGTAAAACCATTCAAACGGGAAAACCAACGGTCTAATCTATATAAAAAAACAAGAAACGAAAAACTCTTATGAACCACATCAACAAACGACAACTATTGAACATCAGATTCCTGACTTAGGACAGGTGCAAACAATTGCAGCGGGTTTAAACGTTTTAATGGTACCAAACCTTCACCCTTATCTGAAACAATAGTGTTACACCACAACATAGAAAGATACACTATAAAATATCAATTGAAATGGCTTAACTCAATCAAAAGACATATTAACACAAGTGAACATACACTGAACAAATAAATTTGATCTATGATACAATGTAAATAAAAAATAAATAAACTAAGGGAAGAATAATAAAAGTAACATGTTATACCGCTTGGAAATGTTAAACAATTTAAGAAAAACAATATGCTTGAACAAAAATATCAGCCATTTGTAATTACTTTAAACACAGGTAAATGAAAATAATTTTGTTGCTAGGTATACGTGTACAGTTCAAATAGAGAAAGGAAATATTTTAACAAAATAAATAATTTTGATGTTCAAAGTACGAAGATGTGAAAATTTATAGTTATACCAAACACTTATCAAAGCTGGTATATAGACCAGATATAACCCTGAATAACATTAAATAACCAAAAAGCATTACCATTACTATCAACAGGTCAAATAAACAAGAAAGTACGATTTGAGAGTACTCGCAGTTACTGACAGCTAGTTAAAAGCCAAAAGCAATTAATAATAAAAAATCATGCATCAGACTGGAAAGTCTGTTGACAATTCAAGCCCAATGTTGAGAGACAAATTTGCTCAAATTGCTGCTGTTACCTTGACCTTAAATCTTTGACTTGAAAATAAAACAGGATCTTTTTTACCCGAGGTGCATTATCCATCCAAAAAAAAAAGGAAAGATACGATTTGTGTCTCAAACTTTTCTCACCTTTGACTTACTGACTTATGCAAGAATAGGGTCTCTGGCTTCCTCCAGCTATGTGTGGTGAAAGTTAGACATATAGTTCAAAAGATAAAATTGAAAACCAAATGATTGGCCAAATTTCAGTCTATCAATTGATGACATTTGACCTTGTTCAGGTTGCCCAGTTTTTTTGGACTAATGTACAACTTTAAACGTTGGACCATACGAAGAAACATCAGGATCTGCCTCACACCAAGAACTGCGAATGTCAGTAGACAGAAAATGACGATTGAACACAAAACTTAATAACAAAACTCATGGTTTAAATTGAGAAAGGAATTTCGCTTGTCTTAGGACTTTTTAACAACTAATTTAAAAAAAATTACCACAGTTAGAACGCTGAACAATAGACTAAGTTAGCAAAAAGTCGAAGACCGGTGCATTTTCACCTTTCTTTCATTGTAATCACCCCATTTTATTTTTTAAGATACTTAATCAGATTCCCTTTGAAGAAATGTATTGATTCACATTTATCTGGTATGCTCATAATATCAATTAGGAAAGGTAAAAGAAATACAAAAGCTCTCAGAGAAAAGGATGATGATGATGATGGATGGGTGCTTTACGTCCAGCGGAAAATTAATATGCATATTCAGGACGAGAAGATGTTAATGTAATTTGAATATTAGCCCTGCTTTGTACTAGACCGACACGCTGAGCCGGATATTTAAGTTGACAGTCCGCAGGAAGACATGTTACCTTACCCGGACACATTATTCTGTCTCCGAGCAGACCAGTCTTTGCTGTTACTCCTTAATGCCGCGTGCTTAGTGGAGAAGCAGCAAATATAAATTCTAAAGTCTTTGGTTAGACCCGGACGGGTTCGAACCCACGACCTCTCGCGCTCATGGCGAACACGCTACTACGAGGCCACCGAGGCGGTTCAGAGAAAGGGACGGAGAACAGAAAATCAGATACCATCCAAACGTTAGCCAAAGTCAGTGAAGATTAATATTTATGCAAAGGGAATTAACCTTAAAATTAAAAGAAAACTTAAATCTTTTGTTTTATTTCAACTTCCTTATTATTAACATCATTATAAACTGATTTATTGATCTCACTTTCAGCTTCATTGAAGAGACATTGATTGTCGAAATGCGCATATGATGCAGTACAATTTATACAATTAATGTTATTTCAAATGATTTACTTGATGAAATCGAAATTTAGAAGTCTACGTGATAACTTGTTGCTTTAAAATATGATTGTTTTAGTTAGAGTGCGATACTTCTACATAACCTTATATTCTTTCTGTTGGAGCCTATTTCTATGTATGGAATAATCAAAGCAATAATATCCGCTTATCGTGATAACATTAGATGTAATGTTCTTCCTTTTAATTAACAGTTATGCAAGTCTTAAGCAAACGGATTGAGTCAAAACACCTTCTTTTACTTGAAATGACACTGACGTAAATTATTTGAAGTGCTAATATATATATTACAATGCAAACACGAAGGGTGAAAATTCATATAACAACAAACTGAGAACTGCGGAAGTGGACTTTATATAAATCATTGCGCAAACATGAAAGAATTAAAGTATGGAGCTTCTATTAAAGGCAGATATTGAACATAAACACAACGTTTAAACATTAGGCAGGAAATTAAGATACAACCAGATGACATTTTTTTTTCATTGAAAATCAATCGATTTTGTCAAAAAACAATTGTCGGAAATCAACAAGACATAAAAGACAGAGATATAAATCCAAATGTATATTAAACACGCAGATATCAACAAGAATATACAAGACAAAGACATAAATCAGACAGAAACAAAATCCACAGAAACAGGAAACCACCAGAACATACACAACAAATACAAAAAGCCACAGAAACATGTAAAACAGGGGCAAAAATCCCTGAATGTACATGTATCATCATCTCAGTCGTCAGTGTTTCGATACTGTCATGATTTATAACACACTTTTCTTAATTTCTTCGTTGATAAATTTAAACATTATCAATAATATAAAGTTTCTACTCTCAAAGTTGGCCTAAGGAGGATACTTTAAGGTCCCTTTTGGTCATATAGCTCCTCAAGTATTCATTTACGCTTGGTTTTAAAATGGTTAACTTTATGCATTCCTGGTCAACGGAAATATAGAAAAGCCCTTAGACCGCACCATGTTTATAAAGTGTAATTTCATGTTGTGCTGAAGTTTTCTCCATGTATCGTCAAGTAAGTATGATCAAAATAATAATTTCTGCCACTGTCTTCTTCGCAGAATTTTGGATATCCCTATCGGCGATATAATAAATAGGTTAAACATTTGTAATTATCCTCATGAATGTTTAATTTGACACTGGTTGTGATATGAAGTTTTACAACACTTATATTGACGTCTGAGATCAATTCCAGTTTTCAGTGGGTTTCGTGTTGCCCAGTGTTTGGTTTTCTGTGTTGTGTTTTGTGTACTTTTGTTCGTCTTTTAGTCGTTTTATAAAATCTATACCATTAAAGATGTATTCTTCTGATGTTTAAGTCTCGTTGAAATCTCGTTCTGGAATAATTTCCAAACATGTGATACAAATGAAAAATATCAATGAATTTAAAAAATATAATAATCAAACTCAACACTGTGAAAAAATTGTGTACTTACAATAAGTAGTTTTTTAGTAATAAAATTTTCAAAATTTATAACCAATCCGGTCAGTGCCATCAGCCAAAATGTTGAGAAAATGGGTGAGGGGTACAAAGAAATCATTTTACCAAAAACATGTACATCCCATATCAATTTTCTTTTCAAAATTCTTATATATGTATTTTTTCAATCATTTATAACAAAGAAGTTGAAATAATATGCATTTTGTTCTTAAATAAGAGAAAAATTCCAAATTGACAAAATTGACAGCATGGTCAATTTGATACGCAAAAGCAACAAAATTTTATTAAACTTTTAACATTAACACCAACTTACAGTTTTTTAAGCTTAATTTATTCAGATTGGTCCATTCCATCTTTAGTGAAAGTATGAAAAAAAGTTTAATTGTGAAACTGTGATTTTTTTTATGATAATAGCCCAAAAGTGGGTAAAAATTTATGAAAAATATGAAAATCATTAAAAATGGGGTACTTCCAAATGGCTGTAGCAAAAAAAAAAGTGCGCCACCATAAGATTTTTTATTCATCAAATATTTTCTTAGTCATATAAACCCAAAAATAATAACCCTCATGTTCAGAAAAAAAGTGTAATTCTAGAAATGTTTTGCTCCTCAGAGATGTACATCCTAATGTTATTCCGATCGAAATTTGAAAGTCTACGTGATTAACAGTTGCTTTTAATATAAAAATTTTAGAGCGAGATACTTCTACATATTCTTTCTGTTTCAATAGAAGCCTATATTTATGTGTGGAAAACTCAAATCAATAGCATACGATTATAAAAGAGAGTCAAAAGATACCAAAAGGATATTCAAACTCTTAAGTCAAAAACAAACTGACAAGGTCAAGTTAACACTAGTTGTTATGTTCTTCTGTTCAATTAACATATACATAAATCTTTGAACAAAATTATGGGGTCCAATCACCATTCTAGCTGATATATAATTTTGAAGTGCTAATATATATATTATGATGCAAATGTGAAGGGTGAACAAAGAAAATAATAGCAAATGGATAGTTGCGGAAGTGGACTTTATATAAACCATTGCTCAAACAGTCTTAAAGAAGTATTGAAGACGCTCGTTTCGTCTACATAAGACTCATTAGTAACATCCAATTTAAAAAGTTTAAAGGCCAAATAAAATACGAAGTTGAAGAGGATTGAGGGTCAAACATTCCGAAAGGTTTTGCCAAATACAGCTAAGATTATATATTCCTGGTACATTATTTGATTTGAACAATTTGGTTACCTTCAGCTTATCGTTGATAAATAAGAGAACACCTTCTTTCTGTGTCGATTGAAATCCTAGATGGATGTTGTCAATGTATGATGCATCTATCAGATGTAAAGAGAATTTGGCAAAGCCATCACCTTCAAAAATCATCGACTTGAAGTGTTTGCTTTTACTGAAATTAAAAGATATGTAGCATATTAAAAATAAACCATTAGCAAATACGTTCCTCGATTCATTTTGGTAATTTCAACCTGGAAAAATGATAATAAACCTTAACGAGACAGAATGTCCCATTTCAACTTCTAAGTACATTAAATGCGCATTTGGTTATTTTTGTGCTTCATCCATGCATACATAATTGCTGTAACTGCTCAACCAACAAAATAATGGAGAATTCGCAACATATTTATGAGGCGATATTGAAGAAAACTTTATTATTAAATTGATAAAATCATTACTTTCTGTCTTAGAAATGTATGTTTACGTACCATCCGGGTGCAGTGCAGTGTTTCATAGTTCCTTTCTTTTTGCTCATTGCTAAATGTTGTCCGTTTACTACAATATCACTAACACAGCCCGAAAAATAGGAACTTTCAGAAGGTATCTGTAATATGAATAATAGATGCAAATATGAAAATAAGAATAACCTATTTAAGTTTGCTTTGTTTTCAAATTTAAATAAAGAGCTGCGTCGATTTTTCAAAGAATAAAGTTCCATAACTCATCAATGTCATATCAGAAACATCCCCTTTTTTAATGAATAAAACCCCATAACTCGGAAACGTAAAATCGAAAATTTATTAAAATCGAAAAAGAGCTCACGTCAATAGATATAAACAATTTACCAAAGTTTCATGCAAATTGGTTAAAGCGTTTTTGAGTTATTGTCGGACAGACGGACGGACGGACGGACGGACAGACGGACAACGATATACCATAATACGATCCGTAAACGGGCGTATAAAAAAGAAATTAAAACTAAATTAATTTTAGATATTGATCAAAAGATCAAAAGAAACAATTGTACAAAAAAATTTTAATTAATATAGTCGTAACCCTTAAAGACAAAACCTGTCATTCATATTAAAAATAACAGTTTATCGATGTTTAAATATCATAAAACCATTCAGAACATATAAATCAAGGTTACAATTTAAAAAGTATTAACAAAAATACCGAACTCCGACGTAAATTCAAACATGCGGAATTCTATCAGATAAAGAAACATATATATTCAGGATAACAAATGATGTTGATTACTTACGACTGTTTTCCCTACAATTGCCCTTGAGATTGTACTCTGTAGAGTAGATAATCCTGGTACATATGAATCTTCAACGATTTCCTCTGAGGTATCATTCAAGGATTTCAGTCGCAATTCTACAGTTCGACCATTTCTATATAAAAAAAAAAAAACAATATGCATATATGGCGTCTATTCCTTAATACTTTTACCCTTTACTTTGTATATATGCATTAATCATTGCCTTGCAGGGATGTGAAATGTGATAATATTTAAATTCTAGTTTTCCTATTCAACTTATTTGGTCAAATGTATGTCCCATTCGGTTTACAAGGTCACTGATTATTATCATGGATAATAACATCCGCATAAGTACAATCTGTTCTCTGAGCACAAAGTACGATTATCTTATTCCATGGACGTTAGGTGATTACTTCAGACCATCTATGGAATAGAATTTCAAATTTCCAACAATCCCTCTACTGGTAATTGTAAACTGCATGAAGAAGAAGTCTCGAGTACAGATTCTAGACCAGCACGTGTCATCACTACGAAAGACCATTGTTCAGGAATTGTATCATAATAATGAATATAACTTTTGCGATTCGATTTTGTAAGATCAAGTTTCGCGTGGCGATTTCTTAAATTTTTACACATTTCTTTTAATTAAGATGAGATTCCTGACGTCAAAATATATTGTTTCTGTTGGGATGATGAAAAATAAAATTAATTTTGTTTAATCAAAATTCTACCAAGCAAATGATATTAGAAGATATAGGCCAAAGTCAGTTTGGTACACACCCTGGGAAGAGAATTCCATAAAGAACCAACCAACAAGAAAGCAAATAGTGCTTTATAGTTCAGCCGGGTCGAAAGAGTTATGCATTCTTTCTTGCGATAAAATTCTGGAATTAACATTTTCTTACTTTAAGAATATTTGGCGGAGATGGACATGATAGAATTCAAATACCTTCAGTGTTTGTGTGCTTCTTTCTTTATTAAAAAGGGAAAGTTCAGTCTATGGTTGATATTAGACAAACTACTGATGGAAATTCAAGATCACCACAATACTTCTATAGGAACTATGAATTGGACAAAGCAGACACCTTGAAGACACGTTTTGAAACAAGAAGGATCATCAATTATATATAAATATCGTTGTTAAGGTAACTTCTAAAAGCGCAGATTCCAATAACATATCTGATTTGGTTTTCATATCATGATTCCTTTAGTGATTATATTTTCACTTCGTAAGACTTTAGAATATTTTTTTTCGATTTACGTTCTTCTTTTACATATTAAATCGTGAATCCAAAGACTCTCGTTTACTTTTCAGTCAACTTCCCCCATCTCATTAACTGGGTTATTTATTACCTTCTTATACTGATTGAATACCAATGGTCTTTCTTTAAAGGTGATGTAAACGAAATAGTCTCCAGCTTTGTATTGTCAATGTCAGTGATTGTTACAGCTGGTTTCAAGTCTTTTAAGAAAACGGAATAAGATTGCTACAAATAGTAAAAACAGAAATAAATTCAATGAGTAGTTTAAAGGAGGTGTGCCAATGAAAATTATAATTCAAGGATGGAAACAGTCGGAATTAAAAAGAACTTAAAAAAGGATCACCCAAAAATATTCTCACATTGTCATGTCGGGCCTTTATAGCCGCTATACGATATGGGTTTTGTTCATTGTTGAAGGCCATTCGGTATCCTATATTTGCTTAAATCCGCTTCATTTGGACCCTGTTTGATATTTTTCTCATTGTAAATCATACCAAATCTTGGAGGTCACCTACTACTAACAAAAGGACTCTGATTTTCTGAAAACATTTAATAAGCATACTATGTAACACATCTACCGTTCTATTATAATGTAAATCCATGTACATGTAAATTTGAGCTCAAATAGTCCAAAAATGTTTAATTTCTTCAATTTATATTCGGAAGTTTTAGTAAACAACAACATCAAAGGTTTGGTCAGAGTTATTTTTCATGTGTTCACAATGCTGATTGCTCGGCTGATAAATATATGGTCAGAAAGGCAATAATTGATATGTAGGATTCGTGATAGATAACGGATGTTTTAGTTGGCTGACACACTGATACTCTCCAACGATTCACAAATTCGTGATGCAACTAAAATTATTTTAAAATAACTTTTTATTCACAATGTTGGGTTTCTTTACATATTTACAAAACTAATTTTAATAAATTTGTTCATTTTTGTTCGAAATCTAAGATATTCAGATCAACTATGCTTGAATGAATGTACGTCTATTTATTAAGGTCAATTTATAAAATGAGAGAACAAATACCAAGGTAGTATTGGGTTTTGAGTTAGCTTTCAGTAATTGCGAGTACACTTTGAGCGGTACTTTGTGTTTTGTCATTATAGTAGTGTTTGTGTTGCAACCGATCTGGTGAGCCAAGCTCTTTCCAAATGATTTTCTAATGATGTGATATTACACAACAGTCCAGGGTTACTAAAGCACTAACAAACACGTTTAATCCCGCCACATCCTTTATGTCTGCCTGTCCTAAGCCAAGAATATGTAGTCATGTATCCAGTGATTGTCGTTGTTTATTTGTCTGTCATAATTTTAGTTAGTTGTATAAGATTGATTTAAGCTGCTTGCTGTATCCTCTGTTGTGTTTCTTTTACATTTCGGACCATTCATAGCTTGCTGTAAAGAATGGATTTGATCATCGTTGACCGAACAAGTGTTTAAATTCTCCTCCATTTGTCACTGGTAGATAATGTCTAATTTGTAATCTTACCACATCTCCTTCTTGTTCTGGTTTTGGAATATTTCTAATGTAAAAACAGAGGCTCGCATAAACAAGCACACAAACGTATTCACACACACACACAAACATAAAAACTCATCTAAACAGGTTTGTTGATTATATAAATTTAAAGACCTACTGTTAAATTTCCGTAGAAAGTGGCAATTTGCATATTTTCACTACTTGGGTTTATACACATGTCTATTATAGATGACGGTGAAACAGGTACAGATTTATAAGCGAATGACGCATCCAAAACCTCTTTGCCGTCCATGTATACAGATAACTGCAATTATAATTCAAATGTTTAAGACATTTTAATACAAGTTTTCATGACAAAACATTATATTATACAAATTCAAAAAACTAACGCAATTTAATAATCGCTGTTATATGCATATGAATGAATCTGCACTAGCTCTCAGTAACTGTGAGTACTCTCAGATCTATACTTTGAGTCTTTTTGTTTTTGTTAGTTGTTTTTGTGCTTTGTATCGATCTGATGAGTAATGTCCTTTTTAACTGATTTTTACAATTTGTTCTTATGGTGTGATGGTACATCACTGTCTCAACTTGCAGAAGGGCTGGGCACCTATATACATGTTGAACCCCATCCTTTTCTTTATGTGCCTGTCCCAAGTCCAGAGCCTGTAATTGAGAGGTTGCCGTTTGCTGCTGTATATCATATTTGTTTTTCGTTTATTGTTTTGCATTTGGCATTACGGGGCATTTTATAGCTTACTTTGCGGTATATGTTTGAAATATTGTTGAAGGCCGTATAGTTTCTAATTTCTACGCCATTTAGAGAGTTTTTAAATTGGCAATCTTACCTCATCTTCTTATTTTTATGTTGAAGTTCACAAAACATCATTTTATAAATCGGAATAAACACTTAAAACTCTCGAATAAATAAAATGATTATTATAGTTTTTCTTATTCGGTGTAGAATTCTTTATCATTATGTTGTACTTACTGGAATAGATGAAGTTATTGTCTTAGCTTTATCGATCTTAGATCTGAGCTGCGCAATACTGCTTCTTAGTCTGGATGCTGTGTTCTGGACCCCTTTACATGGAGCAGGGTTAATCTGCTGCAGTCTAGCTATAGCTTTAGAGTTCTGATCCACCGTTTGAACTAGAATCATATAATTTTGACATTAATCTCATCCACTTTAGGGGGAACTTTTGTTTAAATGTATTGAATTTAACGTGATAAAACAAAGTATTACACTTTGCTGAAGGTTGCATTAAAAGGCAGATGCTCGGACATAATTCTGCATTTTGTCATCACATTTTTCTAACACAAAACGTTAAACTTGATGTCCTCTAACACAATGACAAGACATACTCTCAAATAATTTAAATTGTGTATAACACATTTGAATTAAGACGTACTATCAAAGGTCAATTTTGTCAACAGTTCGTTCGCTTAACGTTAATATCGAGTATATACAAATCTTTTAGTAAGAAAGGTTTAAAAGGGTATCGAATCTATTAAATTGATGAGAAAATTAATAAACCATTCATAACATAAAACTAAAGTCCTTCACATGTTCAACCAATAGAAGAATGTATTTGGTGATAGAAAGTTACCGTTTGATATCAAATCGGCAATAAAAGCTGGACCTTGGTCATCGTTACTGGTTTTGGACAAACGTTTTTGCTTTAGTTGTAACATCTGGTTAAGCTTTTCGTTGATAATAATAAGTGTATTTTGGCTTATGTTGACAGTTTCATCAGATTTGTGAATGATATCTAATGACTTGGTTGGTAAGGTGTTCATCTTTTCAGCGATGTATGGTTCTACAGTGTGCCATGATATTCTAAGACCTTCAGCTGCAGTGACGTAAGCTCCCAAATGGTTCAACTGTCTCGTCATGTCTGCCCAACGATTCTGCACATCTAGACAAAAACATAAAAAAAGAGTTATTTATTCACATATGTCAGCTTTGAAATTAGAAAAAAATCATAGACGAATGGGAGTAAAAGGACATACGCCAAACTACCATATATGTATGTAGGTAGCTAGAGAAAATCAACCTTCAACTGTATTTTATGCTCAATCATACAAAACAAATTAAGTCTGGTATCTATGATGAGTTTATTTACAACCACCACGCGCGTCTGGCGTACGAACAATTTGCCTGGTGTCTGTGATGAGTTTATATAGGAAGTAAAATATAAGAAGGTTCCTGATCAAATAAAAACTCAACTAAGAATTAATACGAAATGGACAGGCGAACAGATGGACATATAGTGTTGACTATGTTCCACCAGAATTAGATAGCATTGTATAAATCATGTTATTCACTTAGTTACCTTTGAAGCCAAAAGAAACATTCACCCAATGGTTATATATCTTTTCACTTTTCATACGGGCACTGAAAGCTTGTGTTGCTAGTTTTTCCTCTGAAAAAAGACAAATATAAATCTAAAAACTGAACCAAGATTAATATCTTCTCATTAAAACAGATAACTAAAGGCACTTTTCTTATTAAAATAGAAACAAAAAGCTCCTTTGAGTCTTAATCGCTCACTTAGATTTTTTTGTCCAAATATCAATTATAAACATTTCATCAGAACCAAAGTAATAACATAATTATGGTAATACTGTCTATAATACATTTTCCATAAAAAATCACTTTATTTCTAATAAATTTAAATGAAATGTTTTCAAAGAGTTTCCATAATAACATAAGTAGATGTTCATAGAACTATTATAATTGCTTAAGAATTCATACTATAGAATCTATCATTCAATCTGCAACTATTTTGGTTTACCTGACATTGATTAACTAAATGAAAACTAACACATGTCCATAGTTTTATGTGCCTTTGATGGATATCGCATTGACCTAGAGCTAATTTATCATTTTATTCTATTCACTATAGGAATTATCAGAAAATAATGCATGTATATACATCTAAAAAAACAATTTTCGTATCAATCTGTTAAAGAAGCAGGAAAACTTGTGTTTTTATTGAGTTTTTAATTAACTCGTCTAACTTTATCGCGAAAAAATCGATTGTATTGCCATTATAAAGGATTAAATTTTAACTAAATGCACATAATCAAATCATCCCACTTGACACTTGACACTTGGATGAATTTTGCACATATAAACAATACAAACAATATAACTGATACAGTTGACTTCACACTTACTGAAATCTTGCTTTGGGTCATATAATACATTCGGATCATCATTCCACCACCAGTATCCTTCTTTTTCTTCTTCTGATTCTTTCTTCTTATCCTCTTCAACGGTAATATCAGTTCCACTCTCCCCACTGCCTTCCTCCGTAGCCTTATCAGTCACTGGCTTTTGTATCGTGGCCGTCGTAGTTATGGTCGTTGCTGTCGATTGCGTTGTTGTTGGTTGTTCGAACATAAAGTCATCATCTGTTCCGTCCGTCTCAGTTGTTCCGCTTCCCTCTGTATGTTTATCTGGCATGGGCGTCGGCGTTGTTGATGATGTTGTTGTTGATGGTCTGTATCTGTCTGTATCTGATCTGTCGAAAACAAAATCGTTGTCTGTTTCGTCTGAATCGCCGTCTTGAGTAGTTCCGCTTCCCTCTATCGTACTTTCTGTAGTTTGTATAGCAGGTTTATAAGTTAGTTCCACTATTTTAACATTTGCTATATTTGCTGTTGTTGTTGGTTTTTTTGTTAGAGCTGTAGTTGTCCTTTTAGTTGAAGACGATGCTATACTCGGTGTTGATGTTGAAGGAATAGTTGTTGTTGTTTTTGGCGTTGTTGTTGTTGAAGCTGTTGTCGAAGTTGATGTTGACGTTTTCGTTGATGTGGAGGTGGGATCTGTTGTGGTAGGTGTAGTGCTAGTAGTTGTCGATGTAGTGGTGGTAGGTGTAGTTGTCGATGTAGTTGTGGTAGGTGTAGTTGTCGATGTAGTGGTGGTAGGTGTAGTTGTCGATGTAGTTGTGGTAGATGTAGTGCTAGTAATCCTTTGAGTGGTTTTCGTTGTTGGAATCGTACTTTTCATCGTAAATATTCCATCCTCGTCATCAACTTCTCCAGATCCAGAGCCTTCAAAGACACCATGCTTTTCACATCTTATTATTTCACTCTCGCCATTCAACTCCTGACAACGTGCTTCTAAAATGTTAGTGTCGTTTAGAAATACTCGTACATCATCCATTCTATCATCTAGTTTCTGTCAATATAAATATTTTTTGTCTAGATGATTTATATTAGAAAAACGATAAACAGGTCAAGTCTTATTTCAAAACGAATGGTGCATATACTTTTCAATCATATATTGATATACGATACACATGAATGGCATTTTCGGTTACACGAAAAATATAAAATTATAAACGTTTTGGTAGAAATTTATAAGGATTAAATGTGTTTAATCCTATGGTATCATCTTTTAGACACATTTCTCAGAAAACTTTCAAGAGTTTTAATCAGGGTGACCAAAACAGCCAGATATTTCTGTAGAAGATATCAAACATTGCATTGATTAAAGTGTAATATGAGTTTTAAAACTCCAGATCCAGAGCCTTCAAAGACACCATGCTTTTCACATCTCATTATTTCACTCTCGCCATTCAACTCCTGACAACGTGCTTCTAAAATGTTAGTGTCGTTTAGAAATACTCGTACATCATCCATTCTATCATCTAGTTTCTGTCAATATAAATATTTTTTGTCTAGATGATTTATATTGGAAAAACGATAAACAGGTCAAGTCTTATTTCAAAACGAATTGTGCATATACTTTTCAATCATTTACGAAAACTTATTCAGTTTAAAAGTATTATATATTTATTCATCATCATCATCATCATTATATTTTTATTGTTAGTAGTAGTAGTTTTAAAACTCATATTACACTTTTATCAATGCAATGTTTGATATCTTTTACAGAAATATCTGGCGGTTTTGGTCACCCTGATTAAAACTCTTGACATTTTTCTGAGAAATGTGTCTAAAAGATGATACCATAGGATTAAACACATTTAATCCTTATAAATTTCTACCAAAACGTGTGTAATTTTATATTTTTCGTGGAATCTCTAGAAATATGTTTTTGCTAAAGAATCTTGTATATATATATCTACGTACAGCTAATGTAGCTGAGAGCTTGTCAATGATGTTTCTAATTTGTAAGAGGGTACCAGCATTTCCACTTTCCATATCTTTGATAAATGCACCAGCTTTTGGAAGAAGAGGGGCCAACTTGCTGAAAAAAGTAAAAACATACAGTTAATCATTCCGATGTAAACATTGAATGTTAAACATAATTTTGATTTAACACAATTTGCTTCAGAAAAAATATTTCAACTCCCCAATTAATGATAATTCAGGACAATTTTGCTCTATTTTTGTGTCGTGTGAATTCGGATTTTTCTTTGGAAGCGGTTTTGATATTGTCATATTATGATTTGTCTACTAACACAGTAAGACTTTGAATTTGTACCTTGACATCAGGTAATTTGTATGTGTAACTGTCTTTAACATGAGCAGTGATGTCAGTGAGTACCCAAGTATTGCACGAAACGTTCGAGTGGTGAATGTTGAAATAAGGTTAGTCCTCCATATGTTAATAAAATATGTTTGCCTCAAATAATTACCTGTGTACAATGTCAGACACTCCCTCCAAGTGTTTACCTGTTCAAGCTCACAATGTCGAACACTCTCTCCATGTGTTCACTTGTTTACAATGTCAGAGACTCCTACCATGTGTTTACCTTTTTACAATGTTAGACACTGCCTATTGACAATATCAGCCACTCCCTCTTCACCTCTTCACGTTAAGCTGTTTACAATACCAAACACTCCCTCTGTATGATTATCTATTTAAAATACCAGACACTCACTCTAGATGATTACCTATATCCAATAAGAGACACTCCATCTATATGATATCAGACACTCCCTCTGTATGACTACTTATATACAACATCGCACACACCCTCTTTATGATAACCTATTTACAATATGAGACACTCCTTTATATTTTTACCTGTATACAACATTAGAGATTTCCTCCAAGTGCTTAGATTTTCTAATTGCCCTTTGAACAAGAACCTCTATAAATGCATGTTCAGTAGATCTTCTATGACGCCTTGATAAGTGGTGTCCGGTTGCTGGGTTATGGTGTCCGGTTGCTGGGTTCTGTTGTCCAGTTGCTGGGTTATGGTGTCCGTCGTTCTTCATTCTGTGGTGGTATTTCTTGTTTAACTTCAAAGAACAGTTTAATGTTTTAAAAGTTTATTTATCAATTATAAAAGTCTAAAACTTTTAGAATGCTTTAAAAACAAAATGAGTTGCACTGCTATGTATCAGGAATATTGCAGAAGTTTGAAGTAATTAGACTGATACCGGCATTTCATTTTCTACACAAGGAAATGTCTGTATCAAGTCAGGAATATGACAGTTGTTTTCCATTCGTTTGATGCGTTTGAGCTTTTGATTTTGCCATTTGATAAGGGACTTTCCGTTTTGAATTTTTCTTGGAGTTCGGTATTTTTGATATTTTAATTTTTGATAAAGAAGACCATAGAAAGATAGCTTGATTGATATAAATAAGAAATGATATGTTTCGGTAATGTATGTTTCCATTTGAACTTTTCAATTTATCCATTCTTATGGTAGATCATACCTGGAATGTATCTCTAGCTATCTTTGTTGATGCATGTGCAAGACCAGTTAGATATCTAGCGTGCTTCACTCTGTCTGATATATTATTCTTGATTGTCTGTAAAGAACAAAGTACGTAATCATAGGACGACCATATTACGGTAACACAACACTTCCAGATTCCTACACACTTTGGAGAGTTAACATGGACATTATAATGCCTTACATATTAAAACTGAGAATAAAAAAGAAATTTAACAGATAAGTTCAGATTCCAGAGGAAATTTAAGTACATTTAATATTACATCTGAATTCGGTGAATATGCAGTCAATGCATTAATTAAAATTTGCGTGTTTACTAAGCTTATCATGAATTCTTTGTTAGCTTTCGTAAATAACAAACACAACTTAGTCAAACCTGGCTTTCAGTGGTACAACCAAATTACAAATAATGTGTGTTTTACCTTATATTTCATTAAACGTCTACGGAGTGGTATAAAAACATTTCCAGACAATGAATCGACCTTCTGAAGTATCAGTCGCACTTTCTGCTGCAGATCATACATTTCAAAATACCGGAATTTTTCAGACAAACTTTTGTCTTTTACTTTGCTCATGACACTCGTCTTTGCTGCATCTTGTTGTACTCCTCTTCTGTAAAATGAAATATGAAAAAATACGTATACGCATCAAATGTTTTCAGACGTCACAGACATAATTAGAAAGACAAAACGACCAAGAATGCTACACTGAAAAGCTCATTATTGCTTATAACACATTTTGTTTTGGTTATCTATCTATATATGCATTAAATTATTATCCAAGTTTTTGTAATTATTCCCATAACTGTGCCATTGTCGTTTGTTGAAATGTTGCAAACCTAGTTTTTAAAATAAGGGACTGTGAGCTATTGCTCACTAATGATACTGGTCCGCTATAAATATTCGGTAAACAGGAAGTTGACGACTGATTGGTGCAATAAAGTATCACACGGTATAACATACTCAGATGAAGCATGATACAAACTTTATGAAGATCTTATTTGTAGTTTCTGAGAAAAATGCGACGAAAATATCATGGGACGGAAGGATGGAGGAAAGACAAACAGACGGACAGACAAAAGGACATGTGCGGATGAACCGACAATGGTAAAGCTGTTCATAGTGGGGGTGTAAATACTTTATTTTCATTATAAATTATATTGAGTATAGGTGTCTTTCATGTTTAAACTCGATAATTAAATCAATAGAAATACCTACAAATACAAGGCATAATGATGAAACAGAAAAAATGTATTAAATATATTATCATAAATCATACCTTTGTAAATCCATAACACTATTGTAAACGTTTGATGCATTCCAATATGTCATCTGATATTTTCTAAGTTCTTTGTTAAAGTCAACAAACGTCATCTGTGGAAAACTTCTCAGAGACATGGTTTGGGCACCAGCATAGCCATTCTCGTGGGCTCGTCTATATACATACCGGACTAGCTGTGACACATCCATTAAGGCATCTATAATTAATTTGTTTCATTGGAAGTTGTCAATAGTTATAAACTAGAGGTGATTTAATTTTATAATATGTAATATTTGCACTCATACCACATCTTCTTATTTCTATACAAGAATAGACAACATAGGAATTAAGTTCTTGTTTCAGCGATATCGTGGATAAGCTTTTATGTTTTGTTTCTATCTTACCAATGAATTGCTTCAGAAAGGTTAAAAGCAAAAAAATATTTTAAAGGGATTACCTCAGAAGCTGTCGTGACTTAAATGCCAATATTCAGAACCCATGATATAACCGAATTTAAACGACATATTCAAAACATGCAATCATAACCAAGTTTAAGAGAACTATTTTTCATCATATACCCCAAAAAAAAACTCTGTTTGGAAAAAGAAATTATTCATGGATGAATTTATATGACTCTTGAAAAATATGCGAAAAAGTGCTAACTGCCTTTAATATGTTACTCTGTTGGGCAATCAATTAAGCTTACGCCATACCCGTTCTTTTCCTATAATCGACAAGTCTTGCCGAATGGATTGCCTGCCCTGCTTGAGTTGTATGCTGTCATGTTTTGTTTTAATTTATTAATTCTTAAGATGACTTATCATATGTGTACTACTTCATGTACTGTACTGTTTTTGTCTGTTTGATTATCGAAATTATTATATTTCATGGATTCAATTCCATCCGCATTTATATACTATTGCATGTCAAGTTATCTAGAAATTCCTTGATATCCCTTTCTGGTTGTCTAAATCTGTATTATACAATGAAATTGTCGGGGTAATTATGATCGTATTTTTTCAGATTGGTAGTTATAGTATATATGTAATATGTTAACCCTCTTCTGAACGGTAAATCGACCGGGATAGAGGTCGGGAAGTTTTGACTGGAATAGAATATGAGAGTATGTTGGATATGGAGCAGACATTTGTCCATTCAAAAGGCCACCTACAGACCCCTCGGAGAGTATTTGCAAAGGTAGAGCGTGGCACTCTCCCTACAAGAGGTGCACAGGCACTTGTCTCTGAAAAAAATATTTCCTACAATACCTTAACATAACATGTTATATTAAGGTATAGTAGGAATTTTTTCAGAGACAAGTGCCTGTGACGAGTTTTAGGATTTAACTTCCCCATTCTGACCGGATGTCCCACTTCAGTTCAATGATTTAACGTGAGAAGTCCTAGTAACGGACATATTTTCCATATGTCCTATATAGGACTATATACCATACTGATACAACTGTACTGTTGGGTTCTAATTATAATCGACCTTTCACTGGGAAAATATCGATGTCTTTTTTTCACGTTTTGCCTATTGTCTTCGATAACACTGAACATTATCCATTCACATTTTGAGATTTGGTTTCCAGTATGTATTTGAAGGCTCATAGTATATTGGACACATTTCGTAGAGAATCGTTGTTTACAATGTTAATGTCACTAGTTATAACGTGGTCAGCCAGGTTATATATGAATGGGAACACTCACCATTAGAGCACTTCTGTGTTGACATGAACTATCATTGATATGGTCATAATAAATAGTTAACAATTTACAAAGCTTTGAACATTTCGAAATATTAAGGATTTATTTTCTTTCCCAGGAATATATTACCTTAGCTGTATTTTGCAAAACCTTTCGGAATTTTGGTTCCTCAATGCTGTTCATCTTCGTACTTTGTTTGGCCTTTTTTACTTTATTGATTCGACCGTCACTGATGAGTCTTTTGTAGACGAAACGCGCGAAGGGCGTACAAAAATTCAACCCTGGTATCTATGATGAGTTTATTTGTACTGTTGGGCAGTATAAATGTTTTAGGTATGTACAGTTGAACAATGCTAATGTTTTAAACATGCACCGACTGGGTATGCTTCAATTATTATTATTTTTTTATTAATGACAATAATACAGACATACTCAATTGTTACGGAAATCTAATGTTTGTAATGTTAATGATCATATATCATTTCTTATATAAACCTTTGGGTAGTGATTAATATGTCTAAATACTGTTCAGTTCAAATACTGACCATATACATCGTTGTTTTCCTTTGTAAGTTCCTCTAACTCTTTTCTAACTTCCATCATAGATTCCCGGGACTTACTCCCCACCGTGATATATTCATTATCAACCTGGAATGATAACAACAAAAAGTCATATATGCAAAATTTCTGTAACTGCAGGGTTTAATCATTTATTTGATTTAAACATAAACGGTACAAATTGTATTGCACCAGATGCGCATTTCGACAATTAATGTCTCTTCAGAGATGCTCGAGTCCAAAATATTTTGAAAGTCCAAAACAATACAAACGTTGAAAAGCTGCTAAAATAAAAAAAATAAAGAGCAAAAGTAAAGCCAGATCCGGACAAGGAATCAGTGCTTTGCGTGAGGGAGATATATTCCTTCATTTTGGAGAATTTCGAAATTTCATGACAGCAAATTTAAATAGAACGATATCCGAATTTTCAGCTCTGGCTACTAACCGGTGGTACCCTTGACTTAAAAAAAGATTAAGGTATTATATAGTGGTCTTTAGGTTTTTGAATAAATCAAAGTGTCATGCTCTTTTCATTACCCAGTGTTAGCATTACCCGAAAGGGAAACAGAGGCATACCGGTATTTACATTTATATAAATACTATTTATGCTGTTTTGATTTCGGTATCGAGCGTACCTTGTGGAAGTTATTTCAGACACACGTTTAGAAAGTGCGGAAATCAGTACCATACAGGGTTTTTCCAATGGTTGGGTACCGCAGATGGTGGAATATGAGTACCCTGTGTTACCACCATTCCAGAAGCCAGTGCTTATTGAGTGATTTTTGCTTGTAAATGTTAATTAATGAATCACTGTAAGTTGTACTGAAGCTTAGATTGTAAGTCCCTTATAGGCAAAGTTGACTGTAGACAGTTTTGGTTGTTTTCAATTTTTTTACGATCTCAAAGGGTTTTATATTTTGGGCTGCAATGAAGCTGATCCCGATATCATTTCTAATTGAAAATGAGTTTGCGAAGTTTGATACAAAAACTACTTAAGGTGTGTGCAGTAGGACCAAAGCTACTTACGTGTGTGCAGTAGGACCAAATCTACTTAATGCGTGTGCAGTAGGACCAAAACTGCTTAAGGTGTGTGCAGTAGGACAAAAGCTACTTAAGGTGTGTGCAGTACGACCAAAATTACTTAAGGTGTGTGCAGTAGGACCAAATCTACTTAAGGTGTGTGCATTTGGACCAAAACTACATAAGGCGTGTGCAGTACGACCAAAACTACTTAAGGTGTGTGCAGTAGGACAAAAGCTACTTAAGGTGTGTGCAGTAGGACCAAAACTACTTAAGGTGTGTGCAGTAGGACCAAATCTACTTAAGATGTGTGCAGTAGGACCAAATCTACTTAAGGCGTGTGCAGTACGACCAAAACTACTTAAGGTGTGTGCAGTAGGACCAAAGCTACTTAAGGGATGTGGAGTAGGACCAAAACTACTTAAGGTGTGTGCAGTAGGACCAAAACTACTTAAGGTGTGTGCAGTAGGACCAAAACTACTTAAGGTGCAGTAGAACCAAAACATAAGATTTCTAAGCTAAATAAGTAATATACTGCAGTGAGTGAATTTGGTTATGTTTGTGATTTGTGTAGTTTTCAATTTTCAGCAATTTTAAATTTTAAAATGCACATGTTCATCTGACAATTATTTTCTGTACATAAAACCAGACAATAGTTATCTAACAGTTGTTTTCATAGACTAAATAAACAATTATTTGTTATACCTTGACCCAGAATAAGGACTATGTGTGAATTAAAAGCATATGTTATAAATAAACATGTTTCTTTAACGTTATAATTCGTGCATGTTTTTCTTTCATCGTGTGCAGTGAAATGTGAAAAAAATGGATAAATGTAAATTTGGGTATTTTACTGTTTACGTGTAGGAGGTTTTGCCTGTTAAGATGTATATATTTTCATTTATCAAGGAAGAAGGTTTAATCGGTTTCTTGTTGGTAATTCAAAACATTCCTAAATGGAATATGTTTAAAGTAAATGTGATACTTATATCATTTGACTTTGAAACGACCCAGTAAAGTTGAGTTTAACACAATCACAAATATAGTTAACCTTGTTCAAATTCTTGGACATTGAGTGTTGAGCCTGATTATTATGTAAATTTACAATGAGTGGACTTTATGATGTTAGTTATGTTATCTGATGTTAACATATAATTAGCGGTGTTTATGCTTTTTGATTGACAATTATTATGACTGGTGAAAATGCTATACAACAAACAGTCAGCATTCCTAACTATAATATATGTTATAATTAAACACGCATTTATTTTTGTTCTATGATAACCACTACAGTATAGGTGGTGAGAGTTTATGTCGTTGGGTGGCTGAATAAATAGAAGTGTTAACTGAAAAATCTACTATAAGAACGTTTCTCCATACCATTTGTTAAAATCTTATACATGTGATTTTCACGAGCCACAAAAGTTCATGCTAAATTCGTCATTTTTGACTAGTACTAATGGCTTCGTTCGTCAATCACACCCTATTTTTTTTCTGAATGAAGCTAAACAGATGTCTCATGATTAGCAGGAATAATATTTACTTTTCCGGTAAATCTGAGTTCTTTATTGACCTATTTTATTGAAGGGAATTTTCATTTGTTACATTTTAATAGCTATGTAATTGTTTTATGAACGCTTAGATCGAACTGTAAATGAACATATTAAATTCATGCAATGCTCGAAATGCATTTAAGAAATAGACCACATTGCTTAAAGTCATCGTTAGATAGCTTTGTTCAAATATTCTGGTTTGTCACTGGACTTAAGTAGGCATTAAAATATTCTGTTTAACATAAGAACAAACAGGTATAAATACAACAATACGTACATTTCTGATCTTGCTTTGGATCTTTTTCAGGACTGATTGTAAATTATCCATAAACTCTTTTGCAGCATGCCGAATATTTGGATGCAATTTGTGTTCCTGTTTAAAAAGAACAGAGGTTGGATTATAGAATACTAACGATATTGATAAACATCAAGAGAACTTGCATATACCATTATATCATTGAATTTTCAAATGTGTATTGAAGATGGTGTTAAAAAAATATCTGAAAGGAATTGCGATGTATATTCATATCAATTTGTGAATCGATAAAATATTTTGAAAAATATTACTTCATAATTTTCTAATCGTGTTGTAGAATTATCCATAAAATATCGTTCAATAAAACAAAGCTGCTACATTTGTATATATGAAGATCAGTAAAATATATTTATTTCAAATGTATATTTCGTCCTGAATATGCATGAAGTATTTGCCACTGGACATTAAGCCAGCAATAGTTTAATAGTCAAAAGTATATTATACCAATGGTGACAGAACAAATGAGCAAAAATGCAGTTGTCTCATCTTAAGCAACTACCACCCCTTTTTCAGCCTATAACCTTTTTGAAAACAAGAAAGAAATGTTAACCATCGAATGGAATAGAATACAGAATGGAAACGGGGAATGTGTCAACGAGACAACAACCCGACCAAAGAGACAACAACCCGACCAACGAGACAACAACCCGACCAACGAGACAACAACCATACCAACGAGACAACAACCTGACCAAAGAGGATATGTACCTTTAAAATCTTTTTAAATAGAGGTGTTTTAGTCAATGACTTTTTACACTGCCACTGATATAAACATTCGATACAAAATACCAGGACACATCATTAATATTTGTCATTTTTTTGTTTAAACTGAGAATACAAGTTAAACAGGCAAGCTTGATCATTGAATGTGTGAATTGTTATAATACTCTTAACATTTGGCATGGTAATTCATATTATCATTCAAGAAGAATTTCTTTGAGAACAACCTATTGTCAAATGAATATATTTGTTTTAATATCCATTACCAGTCGTGACACTCCTCTTGGGACATGAGAATCTCTGTTCCATCCATATGCTGTATTATGATCCTCCTCTTGTAATTGGAATCCTTTGGAAAGTGGAAGTTGTTTTGTTTTTTTCTTTCCATGTCGTCGTCTCTTGTGTGATCTGTGCGATCTGTGTCGATGTTTCTGATGTTTGGTATTTCCATAAGTATTGATTTTTTCTTTACAATCTAATAAGAAATATTTGTTTATTACTAGTATTTGAAGAGCCTTTTACTTTTTAAAAAATACGGTTAATAGAACAGGGGCAATACCATTTGATATATCTGATAATAAACCCAAAAGGCACTACTCTTTGTGGAGATTAGTTGCAAAGTATTAAAATAGCGTACAAACTGGAATTGAAATTAGGTGACCCTGTAGGGTTAATCAATCCTGCTCAACGTTCAGCAGCCGTTGAACGGTTCAATATTCCTAGCAATTGGTTTAAATTTGCAGCATAGTTGTAAACCAAAACCTGTGTGAGAACGGACACGTTTAAGGGTTTTTTTCCTCTAGAATTTTACATGACAGGAACAAAATTATTAGTGCCATGCACCAGTAGTGTAACACGGACTGCTTACTTTCAATTGGGGTTCATGTTGCTTTTGATCTAGCTTTTTGTGATACTTTATATCTAAATTTCTGTAACTTCTATTGTTTATATTACATTTCTTAAAAATTAGATATGTAATGTAATTTTTTTATCGTTTTGAAGTTTAACATCCTATTTGACGGTAACATGACTTATATAACTTTTTGTACTATTCGTATATGATGTTTGATATTAGTAACAACATTGGTATCACTAGTGTGTTTAGTCAGGCTCGTGTTGCTTCTGTTTTTGGTTTAATTGGGTCTTGTGTCTTCCTAATATCGTTTGGTAATTATATTTTCTAAAACATTTGAAAAAATGGTTGATTTGTAATAAAAGTCTGGTTCGTTGTGGCGACTGTGGACCTTTCTTTGTAATAAATCCGATATAAACTGACCTAGTAGTTTTGGGGCATCATTTTACGTTTCTTAGGAAGTCAAAGTATTTGAAACATGTACTACCTATGCAATTAAAGCACAATACCCATGTTATGAAGAGACAATACTCAGAAACGAACTCATTCTTGGGAACTAAAAAACATCTTATACAAAAATATAAGGATATACTATTTGTACAAGTCACATGTCCGTGATTAAAAATACACCCTCTTTATCTTGTAATATGCTTCATTTATAAATGATACCATGGAAGTGATAATACTTACACCGTTATTTCTGTTCTGACAATCAATCTGTAATAGTTATCCCATGAGGACGCAGTGTGTCAGTGTAAGATCACCATCGGCCAGAGGGTGATCTTACACTGACACACCAAGTCCGAATGGGATAACTATTTTACATCCCAGCTGTTCTAGATTAGATAAAAACCCATTTACGCTTCATAAAATCTAGTTTAGAACGGCACACAATCATTATAATATATTTTATATATTACTTTATAGTATATACCCTTTATGAGCCCCGAACACAATGTTTATACATATATGTTAAATTAAAAGAGAGTTTTTTTTCCAGTCGTCCTGATGTAGTGGTATGACACGTGGGTCTTGAGTTCGATTCCCAGCATAGACACTGGATTTTTTCCTATACAAATTTTGATAGTAAATCTTTTCCTTTTGAATATATCTATGTTTTATTGTGGATTTGACATTCCCGCCAAAATGTTACAGAACAAAGGAAAGAATGCATAACAAAGAAACTCAAGCTAGGGTGATCTGGAAGGGGTGATCCGGCTCAGATCACCCCTGGTAGAACAAAGGAGCTGGGATGTAACGAATTGTTCCGAACAACCGGTTGTACTTGCATCCGCAAAATAAAAATCATATTACACATTTAAAAATGGTAATTTACCTGACTTAAAACCCTTCAAATAACATTTGACTCTGACCTTTTTCATAGTGTGTTTGAAACTATGGCTTTATGTAGGCGTTTTATTTCCTTCTATCTAGTCAAATTGAACTTATTTGAATATCAAGTGCGGTCAATATGAACCTTTATGGAATTTCATTCATAAATATATTTGAATATTATGGGCGTTTAAACTTGCAGTAAGCCCATTGACTAGAGGTTTTGGACCGTATGATATGGTGTGATCGAACAGGTGATTACATGAACTAAATGTATTTTTACTATGGTTAAAGTGAAAGTTATGTACACAATCTACAGAAATTCCGGTTCAGATTAAATAATCTACACAAATTCCCGTTTCAGATTGAATAATTGAAAAAAAATCAGGTTGTTTGATTAAAAGGTTACTCATACATATTTTGTCTTTGCAGTTTTATTTTGGAATATTTCCAATTAGAACAATAGTACGTTTCGATTTAATTTGTAAAAGATATAGTTCACTTAAAATATGTATTTGTCAAACAGTGAATTTCAAGGTTTTGCGTATAAAGGCAAATCTCTGGTTAGTTTATATCTTTCTTTAAGTCACTCTGCAGTAGCAATCGATATTGAAAAAAATTGTCATAAAAATAATTTACACATTGTTCACTCTACAGTAGCGATGATCGATCAATATTAAACATATTCATATCAAACAGAATTTTTCTAGCACTGGATCGATACATATTCTTTTGGTTTAAGCGTTTCTTATAAAGGTTTAAAAATTTAAAAAGAGTTAATTTTATTTTCTAACACTGGATGAAGCTGCAGCTAGTAGTCCCCATGTGTATCATCAGCACAATAGTCATTGCTTCCGAGGTAACATGATTTATAAGATACCCTTCCTAAATACTCCGTTAATCAATTTAGAAATTATTGAGAAACTTATGTTCCAATTCTCTCAGAAAATTGACCTTAGATGGATTTAGCTATGAAAATAAGGAAATGTGGTAAGATTGCCAATGAGACAACTTTACACCAGAGTCCAAATAACGTGTGTGTAAGCAACAAGGCTAATAACCAATACCGTAAAGTCAACTATAAAAGGCTCAACCACACAGGCAATTGTCTCTGAAAATGTGTTACCTATGTTAAAGTCTATAGGTAAGTTTTTTTCAGAGACAACTGCCTGTTCTCACCCATCAGAAACCAATGGCCTTAAAAATGACAAATCAATAAACAAAAGCAAATATAACAGACAGCAACCACCAACAACCACTGAATTACTGGCCCCCTGACATAGAAAAGACACATTAGGAATGTGCCGGGGTTAAACATGTTTGTGATCGAGCTATCAAAAATTTCCCTAACCTGGGACAGTGGTGTAAAAAACACACATTAAGAACAAACTGTAAAGTCTCTATTGTAAATGGCTTCACTCATCAGAAGTACAAAAATTACTAACATAAAGAAAAAAGACACAAAGTACCGATCTAAAAGTACGAGCAGCTACTTAAAGCTAGTCCGAGGACACTATCATAGACATCTTGGCCCGGTTGTTTAAAGGGAGCACTGAGCACAGTGTTGAAGACGTTGACGTTTTGATATCTTTTGAAGTTTTCTGTGGTTTGATTGCTCATTAATGTTTACATTGTCCTTGATGGTACATTCTATAGAATGTTTAAAAAAGTATTAACAAAAATACCGATCTCAAATGTTAATTCAGAATGGGGGAAGTCCATTAAACCTGACAAAATCAAACGCTCGGCCATATCAACCAACAGAACGAATTGAAAACAACTGTCATATACTGACTTGGTACACGCATTTTCTGAAGAAAAAAGCAATTTTGCATCTCAAAGACGACAATAGTGACGGAAAAGAAGAGATATTGTGTTTAAAACTATGACATATGGCTGAGTGTTTCCAACTACTTTTTTCGTAAAGATCTGGTTGTAACTTTGTTCAAAATGGAAAAAAACATATAGTTTGTCAATTTTTTATTTCTCAGTCCCATGAATATAGGTTCCCCTTGTTTATTCTTTGGAAAGTCGTATCAAATAACATGATGTAGCTAGTATATTTACTATATACGATTCAATTTTTTTTCTACGGTTTGTGTATATTATTATCTCTTCGTACATTTTCTATGTGAAAAATTACAAGAAACACGTTAAACAAACAAAAAGTCAAGTGAAATGAGAACAATTATCTTGTCAAAAATATTTTTTAACATCCCTTCAAAGGTCATCAACATTAAATGGCCTATTGACATACCACCTTATGGAAGTCTTTGCCAAATAGTATTTGACTATAGTTATATCAATATAATATTCTAAGATATTGTGTTATGAGAATTGTCCATTTATATTTAAGTTTTCATTCAATTGTAGAACATCGACAAAGGCACTTGTTTCTGAAAAAAATACAAGTACCTATAAACCTTAATATTAAGGTAAACATGTATTGTTTTCAGAGAATGAGACAATTACCTGTAAACATTGGACAGTACTGAACAGAAGCTTTTTAAATTCGCAATAAAGATTGAAGATCCAAGAAGGCGGTGCTGACCTGAGTTTCCCAAATATCAGAAATTATGTAAAATAGTTACTGTATGGTTTAATTTATGTTCACTTTGATATACTTGTAAAATGTTCTTTATACTGGGATCATAGACATCGTAAACAATTTTACAATGAAATAATGTCTTGTGCATTGATCTAGATGTAGATATTTAGTATAAACAGTGTGTCTTTTTAAGTTACAGTCTTTGTTATCATAATTTCTGACAAAAATAATGTGTGCATCGGTTTTCATTAATTTATAAAAAATGTTATTGTTAAAAGCTAACGTTTATCAATTCATCATTGAGTTTTAAGACTAAAAGTGCAAAACATTTCTCACAGAAATATAGATAAGTGACAACAATAGTCTACCGGTGTTCAATACTCGTGAACTTTTTGGAATATACAGCCAAAACTTCAGTAAATAGCATAAGTACTATCAACGTATTCGGTATCGCACCATTTAGAATTCATGGGATATTAAATACTACATCCATTTAAAATGATAAACAAGTATTCATAATTCAAAATGACAACTGCACGAACGGCATAATAATATCTGTTAAATGAAGTAAACTTGCTTTTGTTTTGTATCCACACCATTGATGCAGTTAATTTTATGACAATCATTTGTCCTCTGTTTTTCTTTATTGAAGCAGATTTGACAGACAGCTTAAATGATTATCAGCCATGTTCAGGGACAAATGAACATATATATAGCAAGTCTGTATTGTTCTAAAACATTATATCATATGTCAGGGGTCTTATGATTGTGATTAAGACCACTGTATAGGTCACTGGCCAGCATGGTAAGGTCATACAGCCATGATTTATGTGAAAACATCGGTTTGTCTTTGCTTTACTTACAATAAGTGTCTCTCATAGAACTTTTACAAATCCGGTTGTTCTGTAAAAGAGAGGCGAAGGATATCAAAGGGACATTCAAACTCATAAGTCGAAAATAAACTGGCATGGTAGATACATGTTTAAAGACTTTGTCAGTTATATTTTTTCTTAGATGTACAACAAATGAGAAAATGGTTCCACTTACTGGGTATATAGAAGAGGAACACAAGTTCATTTTTTTTTAAAACAAAAAAGGTACTTTTATAAATCCGACACTTGATAATATGCAAATATAATAGTAGGAAGACAATAACAAAATTAAAGCTATTTTTATATGCCCATTCATATCTTTGGTTGTGAGAATATACAACGATTTTTTTGAAGGAAAAAAATCAAATCTTTCAAGAGCAATAAGGTAAATCAAATTTAAAAAAAACAGTTCAAGCGAATTTGTTTTTTAATAAAGTTCCAGAAATAGTTTGATTAATGTTTGATGTTTGATCCACCTTTGTACATTAAAACTTATCGGTTATTATTAATCAATATGTTGGCTATATCTTTATACTTTTATTTAACTAATATGAACCTTGTGTACAATCTGTATTAAATAGCAATTAAATATTACCTACCTTTATCTAAACAAGGTGTAAAGTTGATAGATCCGGAGTTTTCTTTTTCACTTTCTTTGTGTTTTATATTTCTACATTCCACAAATATTACAAGAAAAAGAAACAAACACAAAAAACGTATCATGTTTTACGGAAAAATATGATCATTCATTAATTTGTACATGTGGAATTATGTCGACTTGTCACAGTCAAATCGTCCGATCACGTGGTTGTTGTTGAAAGGTATACAAAACCGTTTTAAAATTTAAACTTTACACAAACGTCATATGATTAAACAGATAAAATACAATATGCATCGTGAGATAGTTCTAACTGACATATTGTATAGTGACCTTACGTAATAATTACATTCCTTGCCGTTACGGTGTCTAGTTAGTAAATGTTGTACTGCACATTTTAATAAATCATATTATTTAAGTTTATTTATTTAACAAATTACATATTTGTGGTTAAAAAGGTATATATACCGTGTTGAAATATATATATGTAAGCGCAAAAGGATTGAAATTTCACAACATAGCTAACTTTCAGCTCAAAATGGATATGTTGGTCAGACAGTTAGAGACAGTCTTTGCTGTTGCAGTATACATTTGTGTAGCATCTACATCTACATCTACAGGTTATAAAGCACTGTCTTCTTAAACCATTAGTTTTTTCGTTTAATCTGAAGAAGCATATTAGCTACGATTTAGACAATAAATCAAAGTAGGATTTTTTTGTTTCAAATTAAAGGGTATATAGAAAAAGTTTTACATTAAGTAAGTGAGGTAAAAAATCACTCTGATTAAAAAAATTCTCTGAAACTGACCTTATCAAGTGATATTTTGATTGACAACATATTTGTTACGTTTTGGAGGACGTGTTTTTCAACAAACTATCGGCATTCCCAAAGAACCAACTGTGTTCCTCTTCTTTCCAACTTGTTCCTATATTCATATGAGGCTGACTTCATACAGGAGCTTCATAGAAAGAATGAAAAAAGCTAGCATTATACTTTAACTTCATGTTCCGCTATATGATGTCCTCTAACTAAGTAATTCAGCATTTGGTTACTATGTTGAACGCATCAATCCCATCGAACTTGAAATTAAATATACAACCGATACAGTTAGGTCTGCCTGATATATTGACTTGCATTTAGAAATTCACAATGAGGGTCCGTTGAGAACAAAACTTTACGACAAAAAGATTATTTCAGCTTCCCAGTTGTAAACTTTCCATTTCTATGCAGCAACATTCCAGCAGCGCCTTCATAAATATGAAGTACATATAATAATAATAACAAATGATGAAATTCTTTATATCTCCCAGTTGATATGGTATTCCAGAGCTTGCATTTTTTATCATGATTTCCTTGATAGAGGGATGCTGCTTACAAGGAAGCTATTAAACCAAGAGCTCCAAGGATGAAGTTGAAGTCATTTCGAAAATTTTACGGATGCCATCACGAGTTTGTTGACCGTTATGGAATATCTGTTTCTCTGATGATGACGGACCTGTTCCAATTGTCGTAACCATAATCCCCTCCCATTTCCCTCGAATGTGACCTTCAGAAGTAGACTTATGACCGGGTTTCTACTTACATGAGTAACACGACGGGTTATAAATGTGATACAGGATATGCTTACTCTTCCGGAGCACCTGATATCATTCCCCTTTTTTTTGGTGGGGTTCGTGTTGCTCAGTTATTAGTTTTCTATGTTGGGTTTTGTATACTGTTTATCTTTTGGTCGTTTTTCAATGTTTGCCATGGCATTGACAGTTTGTTTTCGACTTATGAGTTTGAATATCTCTTTGGTCTCTTTCGCCTCTTTGAAAAATAGTTCTTATCATGGGCAGTGCATAACAATGATGGTCTGTACGTCACCACAATGCTGAGTTCATCAACTGACGACCATTTAGAACCAGCTATACATTATTTATTTCTTAGTCATAGTCATAGTCATTGTCACTTTTAAAGAGTCATCAAGGGACGGTGTTTTAGAAGATATTAATGGATATAATTCAGTTGACTTATCCGTCATGGTCATGTGACTGGTAAATGGATCTTATTTTGCTGAAAATTTTACTATTTTTTAAAAAGTTTCTCCTTATCTGCTGTAGTTTCTGAAAACAAATTGGTAAAATTCTACATTAAGGGACAATAATTCCTATAAGGAATCTATCTACGATTTCGGCCTGCTGGCTCATTTGTAGATCTTTTTGTGCTGAACATTTTTGCTGGTTTCAGTTTCTTTCTACCTACCATAGTATCTTCAAAATAAACGTAAAATTCGTCTTTCAAGGAAAATAACTCATATAAGAGTTCAGTTTTATAAATAATATTATTTACAAAACTATTTCCTCATTCCGCCAAGTTACGTCTGATTTGCAGATCTTATTTTGCTGATCATTTTAGCTTTTTGAATATTCTCTCAATCAGCTATAGTTTCTCAAAAAAGGGGTAAAAATCATCCCTCAGTGGCAATAACTCCTATACACAGGGAAATTTCACTCACATCAATTTCACGTGAATTTCACCTCAAACGACCTTGTACGTGAAACTCACGTGAAATCAGTTCATATGAGTTTCACGTGAATCTCATGTGAAAGTCACACGAATTTCACATGAAAATCACATGATTTTTTTTCACGTGAAATTGAAGTGAATTTTTAGAATAACGTAATTCAAATTACATCTCATTTTTCAAATTTAATCAAAACTATGAAAAACACCAATTTTTTCTTTCTTTTTTTTGTAAAGTTCACGTGAAATTCATGTGAAAAATTTCACGTGAGATTCACGTGCAATTCACATGAAAATTTTCGCGTAAGTTTCATGTATATACATAAGCTCGTTTGAGGTGAATCTCACGTGAATTCCATGTGAGATTCATGTGAAATTCACGTGAGCAAATTTTGCCTGTGTATAGAATTAATTGACAATTTCGGTCTTACAGATTTATTTGTAGATCTTATTGTGCTACATGATGACTTATTTGTAGATCTTATTTTGCTGAACGTTTTTGTTGTTTGCAGTTTCTCTCTATCTATCATAGTTTCTAAAAAAAAAACAATACAAAAATGGGTTTAAATCGTCTTTCGATGGTAATAACTCCTATAAGTATAGTCAATTGACGATTTGGCAGTCTTGCTTTATTTGTAGATGTTATTGTTCTGGTAATTTTTTCTACTTTAAGTTCTCTAACTATAATAGTTTTCATGATAATAACCAAAAACTGTGATATTTGCTAAAAACAGACATTTCAGGACCAATAACTCAAAAATGGGTTGTCCGATTTTCTTCTTAAAATTTCTCAGAAAATAGACCTTAACCTGCTAATCATATTTCCCTTGTCAGTTTTGCTCTAACAGTTTAGGTTTTGAGATATAAGTCAAAAACTGCAGTTTACTCCTATGTTCTATTTTTTCAACTGCGGACATGTTTGTTGATGGATCAAATTCCGGGCCTTTTTGAAGTAATTCATCTTAATTCCGAATACAAATGGACTAAGTATTATCGTCTGTATATTCATATAGGGAGTGAACAAACACAAATATACATAAATATATAGTTAATGAACAGATTACATAATAAGGATCCCAACACTGAGACATATGGTACCGTTGGCCTTTAGTACTGTCAGCCCAACTACTCAGAATGCTGATTATTTAAATTTGTTGGCCTCTGTTTGTCAAATAATATTTAGGGAGATCAACCGATGTTGAAGAAAAACACCATATGAAGAAAATTTATCTTCTAAAATCTAGTGAGGCAAACAATCGTTTTTAAGCCTAGAAAAATCCATAAGTACTGCAGCACTGAATTGGTTTTTATCAAGGGCTTCACGCCAGTCTTCCAGTCATCTGAGAAGTCTGATCTGACATCCATGTCTACGTTAAAAGCTCACTATTAAAACAGGATTAAACAATTTGTCGAGACAATCTTACAATTGTAACTCAAAAACCTTTGATCTTAAATTTAATTTTAGAAAATATTGGAAGAACACTGATTTAACACTGACAGTTCAGTAATTGGATTTTAATAAGGGGTCATATTTTTTTTAGTCAGATGCATCTTTCGATCTACTTGGGAAAACTATGAAAGCTTATTTGGGTCATTCTACGCTCTAGAAAAAAAATATATTAGTTGTGGCCACGATTTACTAATTAGAAAACAGCTATTTTCTACTTATGAATTTAATAAGTGTTGTCAGTTGTGGTGCAATAACTTCTTTACATTCTGTAAGCAGGAACGCCATCGGCACCTAGCCATAGACTTTTTAATGTTGATTTTATTCTTTTCTTAAATACTTTATCAGAAGTAGTTTTAGTAAATTAAAAATTCATATCACTATCATTTATGTGTACTTTTTTATTTATAAAATAATTTGGTGATATGAGAGGTCATTCGTTTACCATGTATTCCCTTTTTGAAGTTTACTATATGTTCACACAGAACTGTTTTCTGCTCCTCGAGGTAACATTTTTTTTGGAAAAAATATGTTTTACAGTCATCCAAAAAAATCACACGATTTTTATATAATGAGGCCCCTCATGGGGTGTCCAAGTAATCACATAATCACAAATTCTTTGCCAATCATAATCACATAATCATTAATTATTTTTTTAAACAAGATAATCAAATAATCAAAAATACAGTGCTAGATTATCAAATAATCATGAAATACTTGGTCTGGTAATCAAATAATCACAATAAAAACGGCCAAGTAATCACATAATCAAAAAACCCATGAGGAGGCTCTACTGATAATAAACTCATGAGAAAAGTTACCTGTTCATTATTAATTTTGTAAACAAACTTTTCTTGCTTTCTTGTTTGTTTTGATACTGTAACACAGTGATGACTGCTGTACCCATATTTTGACTATTTTATTTATTATGTCTGTTTTGTTCACGCATCGTTGTAAATATAACGGAATCAAGTTGATGAGACTGTCGTACAAGTGAGAGGTTTAGCGCTATAAAACCAGGTTCAATCCACCATTTTCTACATTTGAAAATGCCTGTACCAAGTCAGGAATATGACAGTTGTTGTCCATTCGTTTGATGTGTTTTGACATTTGATTTTGCCATGTGATTAGGGACTTTCAAATAGAATTTTCCTCGGAGTTCAGTATTTTTGTGATTTTACTTTTTTCTTGCTTTCGAAATTTCCTCCTCTTTTTTTGTTACATCGGTTTTGACAAGATGATTTTTTTTTTTTATTATTCATCAACTGATTAACTGTTAATGAGTTAGTTTTTAAGTGTGTCAAAAAGAATCAAAAACGTGTAATTTTAATTTATGTCCCTTCTCTTTCATTTATTGGTACTTGGTGGAATTTTCTAATTTATTATTACCCAAAATTCTTATGCTTGACGTCATGTCCTGAATCTAAAATTTACGCCATATTGAATAGGAATCAGGGCACCGGCTTCCGATTCCAATGTCATCGGAAGCTAAGAACCTTGAATTTGATTAGAAATTACTAAATTTGCGAAGTATATATATTTAGGTTCCTTGTAGAGTGTATATTTTGGTGCCGCAATGGCTGGTAAGTAAAATACAAGTCATATAATCTTGCACTTCCTGTCTTGAAAAATGTCCTCAAATTATGGATTCTTGTAAACTTAACGATAATTTCTCATGTTATTTTTCTGTAGGCAATGGTGCGGATATACAGTGGTGTTTCTCGCAAGTGAAAGGTGCTATTGAGACTGAAGATATTACCGAAGGTTTGTATCTGATCAGTTTTGTTCGTTGATGATTTCCCGCCCCATTATTGGCATTAACAGAGAAATTATATATAAGTTTATCTATATATCTTTATCAAACTAGAGAGATCCCTAATATGTTCCTCATTGAAGTCACTAAAATTATTGACCTAAAAAAAACTAAGAAATGAAGTTTCCTATTTATGTTGAATGATAATATATAAATAATTTCACCGATTTTTAACGATTTGCAAAACCAAGACACTTGTCATTTGCAAAAAAATATTTATCTTTTATTACATGAAAATTGCAAGCAACAGCAGTTACATATATTAATCCTGTATGGGATTCTATGTCAAGGGATTGTAGATTTGGCACACTGAATACCCTTCATATCATAGTCTAAAGAACATCTCAAAACCAATTGACTGTTCAGACGACAACATTCTGGAATCTGGGTCCGTTTCCCCCTTTCACGTTCGCACCCCACACCTTTGCACCCTTTTTATTGGTTTGGTGTTGAATAAAGTTTTAATCGTGTTTGCAGATTTGGCACACTGAATACCCTTAATATCATAGTCTATAGAACATCTCAAAACCAATTGACTGTTCAAACAATAACATTCTGGAATCTCGATCCGTTTCCCCCCTTTCACTTTTATTTGTTTGGTGTTGAATAAAGTTTTAATCCTGTTTAAGTTTAATAGTGTATATTGCTATAAATAAGTTTTTCTTATTGTTTCAAAATAAAGTGACATACTAAAAACATAAACAGGTTTCCTTAAGAGTTTTATTGTTTTATTAATTATTTTGACGAAATGAATCATGAATAAAAAAATGTCATGAAGCATAAGGCAAAGTTCATTCATCTAAGACTTGTAAAAGAAAGGCGAAAGATACTAAATCTCCATTGACTACTATCCAGCTAACTACAGTACATGCAGTAGTTACATCAATTTTACAAAGCTAGTTATAACAAAAATTATGAATTTCATACACAGAAAAATACCAAATTTGGCTTTATAAATATCAATTCACAGTTGTACATAATTAGCATTTAATAATGAATCATCAAATCACAAAAAAAAATATCTAGTATTTGAATAAAAATAGGGTGTGAACAAACCCAGGGGCGAATGTGTGGGATGCGAACAGACCTGATACCAACATTCTGTACACGTGTTAGCAGGTAAGCATAGAAAAAGACTTGACAACAAAAAAAACACCAGGATAATTCACTTGTGAAATTCAAAATGAATCTTTCATGTAAAAGACCATGTACATTGATGTTTTTTACAATTTAACTGTCTCTGGCATTTCCAAAAATTCACTGATAGAACCCTGAGATTTTTGTACTTGTGGTTTACTGTTGGGTAATTAACATTCCTTACAAGTTGATAACGTTTTGGAAATGTCTCTGACTTTGTGTATAGTACTATAATGTAATTTGGGTTCATAAAATAGGTGAACCTGATAAAATTAATGACTGCTAATGCTTCAAAAAAAAATCACAATGTTTTTCTCTCTCCATTTCCCCTCGAAACCATTTTACAACAGACCCTGAACATACTGAATGCCAAATTCCTATTCCCAGTGATTGGTTTGCTTGCACTGGTCTTGGCCAATGTTACATGTACTACATTGTAGTTAGAACTTTATATTCTGTCTAGCAGAGAAATAAAATTCATTCAGCGTTTAAAACATTATTCAAAAAGCTTTCTCGTGCACAAATATCAACTGAATGCAAGGTTTTATGACCTACCAGGCCAGTGGTAAAGGCCGACAAATGTTGGTCAATTGAAATTTTGACAGGACAGTCTGGACAACATCATAAAAACCAGTCCTTATGTGGTAAATTACTGGGTAAATGGACAGAAAGTTTACTAAATTGCTAGGGCCAAATGTCACATTTAATATAATAGCTAAATGTAAGGGAATATACTTTAAATAATGCCTTTTCATATAATAAATTCATAGTACAGTTTATGAAACTTAAATTTTGCATGGTTAAATGAAGATCAAACCTGCTATAAGGATTTGGTGGAAACCTGAACATTGATTTAAAGAGTAAAATTATTTACTAAAGTAAAAGACAAAAACAGAAGCCATGAGAGTCTATTATAGCTAGATCCTTCAAGCTTTCCATATCCTGTATTGAGATGATTTTTGTCATGCTGTTGAAATAAATTTTGTTTAAAACATTCTTCCAAATTCCTTTTTTAATTTTTTCTTGTTACATAAACATTTATCAAAGGGCTGTTGTTATATTAATTATAACCCTTTTAGCAGGGTATATATGAATCACCATGTCTATCCATCCTGTCACGGTTCGTGTTATCCGCATAACTTAAACTGTACATGTACATTTTTTGTATCATTGGATTTTAGATTACAGATGCACTTCGGCTGGGGGGTTTCATATAGCATGGTAAGGTCACACTAACTTTTGACATTTGTCCCTATTTAGGTGAGTACTTGTCCAATTCTTTCTGGCTCACAACTTGTGCAACGTAAAACTTTGGTTAACCAAACATGGTATGGAGTTGTATCATGGGAATGGGGGTATGTCATGTATCGGAGTTTGGTCTTGTGCATTACTCTTGCTAGAACTTAGGTTGACGATGCCTCTTGGATGGGGATGTGTCATTTATCAAAGTTGGGTCACTCTGACCTTGACATTTACCCCTTTAAAGAAGAAAAAAAAAAATTAAATTTCATCTTCTCAATACTGAATTTCACAGCAGCAACTAAAATGGATGTACCAGGGGAATAAGTCTCAATATGCAGACATCTCTTAAGTCTTCAGACTGGTTCTTTTCACAGACATACATGTATCTACTGCTGTTCATTACACCTATCTGTGTCTGTTCCATGCATTATTACATGAAACCTGATTTTGTTTAATGTCCTTTGTTACAGCTGATATAATATCCTGTGTGGAGTACAACAATACAGGAGATCTTCTGGCTACTGGTGACAAAGGTGGACGAGTAGTAATATTCCAGCGTGACAAAGCAGTAAGTTCAAAGTTTAAATGTGCATTCCTTCAAAACGTTTGCAGAGATCTTGAAAGTGGTGGTACAAAGGTCCTGATCAAAATTTTGCAAAGGACCGACATAATTTTGCTATTTTGCAATAGAGATGATGGTGAGGACCAGAAGATTTCTTCAAGGACCACCAGGGGAAAATAGATTTCGAGAACTTCGCCTTTTCACCATCATCTTAATTGTTGTAACTGCTAACTATTTTATCAAAATATGTAAAGAAAAGGGCAAATGATAAAACCTCATAAATTCATACATTGACAAATTGCAAACAACAGGAGTTCCGGTAAATGGTAAACATGTACATTATTTAATTATAGACCACTATGTACAGGACCTGATATTTTCTAAATTTTATCTTGTAATTTGTTATAATCCCGACCATATATTTTTTAGAGAGAAAACCCTAATGCTACATCAAATTAATTCCTTATTCTTTGGACTCCTAGGTATACATACTTGTAAAAAATGGGAGCAAGCGGAAATTTAATTTTAACTTTTTTTTCCCTCTAAAGTTTTATTTTTCAGAAGCAAAAGACTTCTCTTCTAGCTAGCATCATTTTGTTATCATTAAATTTTAAACAAAATGAATAGAAATTACTATATATATGTATCTAAGCAAACAGCAATGTTTATAATTTTTTTTTTAAATTTATAGAAAGATAATTTCAAGCTAGCAATAAAAAAAAATTTGTGCTTTATTCTTATGCATGATACAAAAACCAACCCCTTTTTGGATAGGCTTTATAATAACATGCTAAATATGTACTTTCATTTTTTGTCAGTATTTCATTATTACATATATAAAAATATAAGAAAAAGATATAAACAAATCAGATGTTGTGTAAAAAAGTGATATATATATGTCAAGTGGTCTAGGGCGCTGGACACGGTGCAGACAGTGTTGCCACGATGTCACAGAAGCAAGGGTTCTAATCCCGCTGAGGGAAGAACAAAAATTTGCTAATGCAAATTTCAAGATCTAAATTTGAGATGAATTATATATATATTATGGTGTTAGCCCTGTATAACCACGTGTTATCTGATGGAGAATGTCTGTCGTATAGTTGTCACATGTTTAGACGTGTATGATAAAATTAAAATTTGATGTGGCGGCATGGTAATTAACATTATCATACTTAACATGACAAAATAGCTGATCTGAAAGGTGCACCATCTTCTTGCCACTATACATCATGTACTGTGTTACAGAAGCAAGGGTTCGAACCCTGCTGAGGGAAGAACAAAAGATCTAACATTGTTGGGCTAAATTTGAGACAAAATATATATAAACTTGGTGACTTTGTCACAAAACAACAATGTTAGATATGCAAATCACTTGTGTCCAGCGCCTTAGACCGCTCAACCAACTAGGCTATAAATTAAAGCTTTCGTTATATTTACATGCTTAACATCTGTAAAGTATCGTCAGACAATTCACTATATACACACAATAATTTTTAAAATCTGAATAGTCAAATCATTTTGAAAGGGCTGGACTGGCATCAGATCGGTATGACATTACAATATGATTGTTAATATCATACCGATCTGATGTCAGTCCAGCCCTTTCAAAAGAGAAATTTTTATGGTGTATACATTGATTATTGTTGAAAACTTGCATGGGACAGATGTTCTGTTTATTTCATGTTGTGAGATAATGTCTCATTGATATTTACATGAATCCTGCATCTACTTTCATTTGTATTGTTATTAATCTACTTTACAGGGGAAGGTATCTGTACCACGTCGTGGGGAATATAATGTATACAGCACTTTCCAGAGTCATGAGCCAGAATTTGATTACCTGAAAAGTTTAGAAATAGAAGAGAAGATCAATAAAATCAGATGGTTAAAAAGAACAAACCCAGCAAATTTTTTACTCTCTACTAATGGTAAACAAAATTAGTTCGTTTGAAAGATTATAATAGGACAAACTATATATGCCAACTTATTCAGCAATGTCTCAAACAAGTTCAAAAATCAAGTGCTGATCAACTTTGGAAATATTAATAATATAGGAAATTGCCTTGCAAGTCCTCTCAAGTCTATATTTCTCTGTTGAAGAAAGTTATAAAAAGTTTTAGAGAACAAAAAGCTAATTTTTATGGAACAGGTTTACCCTTGTCTCTCTGTACATCCATACAACCTTAAATTAGTTTCCGTTCTCTTACTTTTGTTTGCCTCAACTTAATTTGATATGAAACTTATACACAATGCTTAATACAACCTAACGCAGATCACCTTTGAATTTGGATGGTGTCACTTTCACCGTTCTTGAGTAATGTCCCTTTATAAATGGAAAAATTAATAAATTTGCTGTTTCCACTAACTTTACTTTTGCACCAACCAAATGTTATGAAACTTGTACACAATGCTTATTATTACCTAACACAGATCAATTTAGAATTTTGGTAGAGTCAATTTCACCGTTCTCAAGTTCTTTGGTTTTATACAGCAGTTGTTTAAAATTACTGACTTCTTGTACAGTTTTGTTTGATAAAACAAATTGCAATTATTGGTTAAGGATTATAGTGGAGAGCAACACTTACAATCAAAATACAGCAGGGCTTCGGAATTCCCATTTCCCGGGGAAGGTAAAAAAAATTGTCGGGTAAACGAAAACGCAGGTACCAGTTTCCCATCGGGTAAGTAAATCATCTATAGTGGTACTTTCCGGTGCGTCATATTCTTGTTTGACAAAGTCTGTTATTGGACAAAATCCAGTTCAGAAACTGGTTCCTTGAAGTAATCACTTGTTTCCTTGCGTTTACAGCGGTAGTGAGTTATTTAATGTCAGTAAACAATAATGGAGATCATGAAGCCATGAGTTTGCATAAATATTTTATCAGACTTTAAAAAAAATAAGAACGGGAAAGTGAAAACTGATGCGGTAAAGTAAAATTGTGAGATAACTTTTCCATGGGTAAGTGCATTTTCAAAAAAATTCCGAAGCCCTGCACAGTAATACATATTGTATTTTGTTTCACTTATATTTTAGATAAAACTATCAAATTATGGAAGGTTACAGAGAGGGACAAGAGACCAGAAGGTTTCAATCTGAAAGATGAGACTGGCATAATGAGAGATTCTACCTCTATTACATCACTGAGGGTTCCCATCTTCAAGCCCATGGAACTAATGGTGGAGGCTAGTCCTCGTAGAATATTTGCTAATGCTCATACCTATCACATCAACTCTATATCAGTTAATAGTGACCAGGAAACTTATTTGTCTGCTGATGACCTTAGGATTAACCTTTGGCACATGGAAGTCACAGATCAAAGCTTCAGTATCCTTATTTAATTACTTTTTTTCTGCAACAGTTTTATTGAGGAAAGATGTTAAATAGAGTTTCTTAATATAAGTGAAAATTGTTTAGTTGAAAAAATTAGATAATACAGACTTTTTCGGGGGGTTAATGACTAACAATGATGGCTCATTTCAGATGTCAAAACTTGTTTCTCTAGTGTTCATCACATTTATTATACCCCACTCAACGAGTTGTGGAGGGTATAATGTTTTTGACCCGTCTGTCCGTCCGTCAGTCCTATTTCTTGTCATCGCAACTCCTCTCAAACCACACTACAGAATTTCACGAAACCTTTTTAGATAATAAGGACATACTATGTAGCTGTGCATTTTAACAGGAAATTACGATTCAATTTTTTTTCCAGGAGTTACGCCCCTTTGAACTTATTTGCCAAATATACTACTGCAAATTTTTGTCATCGCAACTCCTCTCAAACCACACAACAGAACTTCATGAAACCTTTTCAGATAATAAGGACATACTACGTAGATGTGTATATCGACAGGAAATTACGATTCATTTTTTTTTCCAGGAGTTACACCCCTTTGAACTTATTTGCCCAATATACTACTGCAACCTTTTGTCATCGCAACTCCTCTCAAACCACAAAACAGAATTTCATGAAACTGTGTAGATAATAAGGACATACTACGTAGATGTGCATATCGACAGGAAATTACGATTCAATTTTTTTTCCAGGAGTTACGCCCCTTTGAACTTATTTGCCCAATATACTACTGCAACCTTTTGTCATTGCAACCCCTCTCAAACCACACAACAGAATTTCATGAAACTGTGTAGATAATAAGGACATACTATGTAGATGTGCATATTGACAGGAAATTATGATTCAATTTTTTTTTCTGATACAATTTTTTTTTTCTTACACTTATTTTATTTCTCCAATGACAATGTGGGGATGTGGGGTATGTGAGCACGCTCACTAATACTTGATGTATTTAAATAAGGGAAGATCCAAGTATTACATATTCACGACGATGATTATATTCCCTGTAATTTTCTAGTGAAAATAAATTGCTCTAGAAATCTACAGTATATATATGTAACAAGTACATGTAACTTGTTGGTAGTCCTTTCTTTATTTTCAGTTTACACAGTTGAACATACATAGCCAGCTATAGTTAACATTCTACATGTATATGACCTTAACTTGAACAGATATTGTTGATATCAAGCCTGCCAATATGGAGGAATTGACAGAAGTAATAACAGCAGCTGAGTTCCACCCATTAGAATGTAACTTATTTGTATATAGTAGTAGTAAAGGAACAATCAGACTTTGTGATATGCGTCAACAAGCACTATGTGATAAGCATGCAAAACGTAAGTTATTGGGTCTGTTTGGATTGAATGAAGAGTCATGTGTCTATAGTTGTACTAGAATCTATACTATGCCATCTGGAATGTCATGTGATAGGTCCAGATTTTTACTGAAATAAGAAAATATTGAAGCAGAAATTCAATATGATTTTATCTCCCTGCTTTTTTTTTTATGCCCCTGCCGTAGCAGAGGGGGCATAAAGTTTAACCCTTGTCCGCCTCCAAAGTTTGTTTCCGTTCTCTAACTTGAGTTTACCTCAACCAAATGTTATGAAACTTATACACAATACTTATTAACACAAAACTCAGATCAAGTACAAATTTGGGTAGCGTCACTTTTAATGTTCTTCAGTTTTGTCCCTTTATAACTTTATACGATGTGCAAGCGGGGGCATCATCTGTGTCCCATGGACACATTCCCCATTTATTTTACAAATTCTGAAAGCACTTGATTCAAAATTTCCAAAACATTTTTACAGGGGGAAATAAATCTGATAATTATGTTCAATAAAAGAATTTAATGCAAATTCAACAATTTTATATGACCAGAAATCAAATTCATTAACCCATTTTTTTTTTGCTGTTAAGTTTTACCCGTGTACGTGACAAAATTGGTTTCTGTTTCCGTTTACAAATGGAAAAATTTGCTGAATTTTTCGTTTCCGTTCTCTAACTTAAGTTTGCCTCAACCAAGTGTTATGAATCTGATACACAATGCTTATTACCACAAAACACAAACAAAAAGTGTTGAATCTAATACATGATGCTTATTACCACAAAACACAGATCAAGTTTGAATTTTGGTTGCGTCACTTTAACCATTGTAGAGTTATGCCCCTTTACAAATGGAAAATTTTCTGAATTTTTGGTTTCTGTTCTCTAACTTAAGTTAGTCCTCAACCAGATGTTATGAAACTTATACACAATGCTTATTACCACAAAACTCAGATCAAGTACAACTTTTGGTAGCGTCACTTTTACTGTTTGTGTGTGTGCAGGGAAACCAACATTCAATTTCCAATGGCCTAACATCGTATATATTTATTACACATGACAAAAACACTTAAAGATATTATTAGAAACACCTTTGTTTATCACATGAGAAAACATGCTGAGCTGTTACACTATGGTATTTAACATAACAAAAAAAATCCACATGAAGAAAACCTAGCTCTTTAAAGTTAAAACATTATATTACACTTGACAACATTTGCCAAACTTGCATAATATTTTGTTAAACTTAGACAGATGCTTCTTTATTATTAAAAGATGTGTCTGAAGCAAAATTTTGTGCAGTTTACTTTACATAGTGTGGAGTTAAATTTTTCAGTAATAAATAACCTTTTTAAAACTTTATGGATTGTTACGAAACTTGGACAGTAGCTTCTGCATGATCAGGAAAGAGCACTGAAGATAAAAGTTAAATAATTTTTTTCTGTATTTTACTGAGAAGTGGACTTGGCAGTCAACATTACATTTTTACACTTACAGCAGCAATCACAGTGTTCCACTGAACATTTTACAAATTTTTCTTCTATTATTTTAACCAAGAAATCTGAAAAAATCATTTGTAAATTCTGATTGCTGTAAGTTGAAAAATTTCTTGTCTTGTCTTTTTGTTTGTTTTGTTTTGTAAATGCAAAACTGAAATCTGCTTACATTCTTATCTATTATATTTACAGTATTTGAGGAACCAGAAGACCCTACAAATAGAAGTTTTTTCTCAGAGATTATATCTAGTATATCTGATGTTAAATTTAGTCATAATGGTCGCTACATGGTGACTAGAGACTATTTGTCTGTTAAAGTATGGGACCTGCAAATGGACACAAAGCCAATAGAAACATATCAAGTTCATGAATATTTACGAAGTAAATTATGTTCCTTATATGAAAATGACTGTATATTTGACAAGTTTGAGTGTTCATGGAGTGGTGATGATAGGTAAGGAATATTGATTGTACGTAGAGAAAATAATATAGTAGTTGTAATGAAAAAGAACTCTGCATTACAATTGCTGTACATATATCAAGTATAGACACAAGTTCTTTTCAATATGAAGTAGAAGAAATTCACATGCCATGGACATTGAAAATATTGATTAGAAATTTTTAAATTAAATTTGGCTACAGAATTAATGGAGATTTAAGGTTGATGTAAATACTGTAAATTTAGAAATTATTGCTAGGTTTTTATTAATGCGACTTTGTGATGATCGCAATAAAAACTCACATTCTGATATATATTTGTATGGAGATTTTCCTGAAATCGCTATAATAAATCTCGCACATTTGACCATTATTCAAAAATCACGATAATAAATGCACGCAATAATTTCTGAATTTACAGTAACACAAAAGAGAGAGCCCTTGGAGGTCGATATATTGTCCTCAGCAGCAAGAGACTTTACAACTTGTAACACACACAAAAAAAAGAACCCTTATATATAGTCCTCTGCAATAGATGACGAAAATATATATTAGATGGAAGTTATTATACAATGTTTATATATTTATCATGTTTATTGTGTAAATAAGCATTCATAGAAATCTGCTGCAAACCAACTGAGAAAGGCAGTTATCAGAAGAAATGTTTTTTATTTATTTATAAAATATGATAATTTAGCCTGAAAGGTATCTCGTGATTATTTCCCTTTGTTTATAAAAATGACTCTGTATAGGAACTGTAATGTATTGTAAACCAAAAATGCTATTTGACCTTATATGAACATAGCATATAGAAATTTTAACCATTTTTATAGAAAATAGAAGGAACAAAAAGAAGTTTTGTTAAAAGAATAAATATTTTCCATTTAAATTAGGCCTTGAAGTTCTTAATTTATATATTATAGGAACATTATGACTGGGTCATACAACAACTTCTTCAGGATGTTTGACAGGGAGAGTAAGCGTGATAATACTTTAGAGGCCAGTAGAGAAAATATGAAGCCTAGAACAATTCTCAAACCAAGAAAAGTTTGTACGGGTGGAAAACGGAAAAAAGAAGAAATAAGTGTCGATTGTTTAGACTTCAATAAGAAAATTCTTCACACAGCTTGGCATCCTAATGAGAATATTTTAGCCGTAGCAGCCACAAATAATTTGTACATTTTCCAAAGTAAAGATTGATGTGAATAAGACGCATAGTTAAAATTTCATATAGTGCTGATACAACTTGAAGGACAAAGGTCTGTAAGTGCTACTGGACATAAGTGCTAACATCGATGGTGAGAGTTCTTCCATAGTCTACTTAAAGAGTCAGTTGGTGTCACTACAGAATATTGACAGATAAGCTGTAAAATGAATGGATGTTTTGTATTTTTTCAAACAATTTTATAAATGATAATGTGAACAATAGTCATATATATTGTAACAAGTTGGACCCCAAATATATGTGATTATTTTCTTACAGCTGCAGGTCTGCTGTCAGCATTTCCTCAAATAATATTTGCCAAAGAATTGTAAAGTTGGTTGAGCTCTGTGACGGTGCAATAGTATTTTGTGTGTTCAGATAAACTCAACCTAATGCTCAAGCCTAGTCAGTCAGCAACTTAGGTTTATATGTTGCTTATTTAGGATTTTCATTTTTGAAAGCTTCCAGTAAGGTCCAACTATATGTTCCTCAAATTAATTCTCACATTAAATTTGACCTTCAAATAATTCTAAATAATCTCCACAGTCTCTTTATAATAGGATTCAACTGAAATATAAGTCAAGATTCTAGAGATGGATGGCAGAATTTTATAAAATGGCAAATACTTGGTGCAGATGAAACACATATATGAAAAAGTTGGTGCAAGTATGAGAGTGAAGAATATTCTTAAAACAGATCATTTCTCATGTACATTGTACAGTGTAGTTCGTATTTAATATATAACTGCAGATTTAGTGCTGTCACTATCTCAATAATAGAGGACCACTTTAAACAACATCATAAATGTGATACTGGTGTATGTGTTTGGTTGTAAACCAACTACCTGGTTTATTAATTCTCCCAAATGAAGTTTGGAGACTTGCTGTATTTGGTCGGTACCCATTTTCATCCCCAACCACTGCCTTTTGAGAATATTCAAATATCTTGAAAATGGTTGAGGCCCCTGCCCCTAAGCCATATATTTTCTTGTTCAACATGTCAAGATGAATTGAATGATATATAGGGTGACACCCCAGGGGTACATATATTTTGGGGTTTGGGGTCTAAGGGGACTTTTTTGACAAACTTTTCAACAGTATCATTACTTTGTTTAGTATTTATTTTCTAATTGACAAAACTTGCCATTTAGTTCAAATAGAATTCCTAGATTAGCATTTTATGCCCCGTTCTAAGGTGGAAAATGAATGCATGGTGTTACTCCTTTTTGTTTATCTGTCTACTGTGGTTAAGGACTGTTCATTAACAATCTTCTAACACTATTGTATTCCAACTGTTTACATGTTAGGAGCAGTGATACTTATTGTGGTATATCAATGAAATGTTATCACTATAATCCTCTATAGTTATCAAATGTTTATAAACATGGGACATACTTATTCTGCATTTTGTTTGGTCATCATCACCTACAATTTCAAATTCAACAAAAAAATGTTTCAAATGCAATGTTGTAATAACTGCCCATGAAAACAGTGGGACATACATGTTTTACGGACAAATCATTCTCTAGTACCAAAAAAAAGATTTTTTACATATTGTTACAAAATGTAGTCTGCACTTTCAAATTTCAAAATTGAATGTCTCTAATTTAGACCGACTGTCTTGTCTTGCCTGTAAAATACCAGGGGTTATCTCTTAGATTTCAGGTATTTGTGATTTATATATAACATTCCAGGAAATAAAACTTAACATCAACTGTTAAAACTGTCTACCCCATAAGGAGCATTGGTATACAATTCTGAGGTCCACTTATCTAATTTTGAAATGCCAAATGTGCTACTAGGATTAGGTTCGTTATACTAATTATGTATCTGAGATTAACAATAATGATCATGTACCTGATTGTGAAGTATTGTTATATTTATGTGAACCAATATGTTTTTTGTTGAAAAGTATTATTTTTTATGTCAAACAATGAAATTGCAAAAAAAAAAAATTAATAAAAAACATGAAGTATACATGCTTTTCTATGTTAGGGCCAGTTCAATGTAGTTGAATGTAAATGGTTATATATAATCTTGTAGTATCCAAATTTGTTTGAAAAAATTTGGAAATAATTAGGTCTCTGATCATCAACTTGTTACTAGAAATTTTTTTGAAACTCCGGTTCCGTAGGTGGATATGGCTATTCATTTTTATGCACTTTTTTTGGTTATATAGCTGAAGTATTTATTGATCCTTGGCTTATCAACTGTTTTGGGTGAAGTGCTCTCGATTAAGAGAGATATCCAGAAAAATGACTCGGACTTGTCAAATTTATGAATGCTGTTTTCATTTTTTAGGGGGTAAACTTTGGACAAGGGAGAGAACAGCTGTACATAATTTGAAGTGGCTTGTGCTTTTTACAACATGTACCTGGAAGTTATTGAAAGAGATATTAAGCATTTATGTAACAAATATTGTGTAAATTGGATTTTAAGGATCTTGCAACAGCATGAAAGAAATTGTACAAGCTTGAGTTTTATAAAGGTTTAAGAATCAAAAGCCAAAAGAAAATGAAATTGTTAAAAACATGCATCAATAGGATCCAATGTGTTGTATCAGCATTGGCTCACACATCTCATATTCATTGAGATTATTTGACTATGCTCCCTCAGTCATGGTCTATTGACTTTGAAACTTGTGTATGGTTTAGTTAGTTCACATGAGATTGAGTTTGTGATGAGAAATGTTTTAAGATGAACCCCTTATGGTAAGTCATTGAAAATTTGGTATGCAGTTGTAGTAGCTTTTGCACATCTCATGTCTGGGAAGATAATATGGCACTGCCCATTCCATCATGGTTCATCAACTGGCACTTTTGCGTAGATAGGTGTTTAAAGTTTGTGCTTAAACTCTGTTTTAAGGGGAACCAGTTGATAAGATTTGGTATGCAGTTTTATCAGGATACGCACCTCTCATATTCATGGAGATTATTCAACCATGCATCTTCATGGTCTTGCTCAGCGACTTCAAATTTTCTGCCAACAGGCAAGACAGATATCTCTGTGACAACAGTTTATTATCAAAATTACATACAGGCTAGTCATGTGTGTCAACAGTTAATTTGATATATTGTCAAACCATTGAACATGGCTACAAATAGAACAAAAAATTTTGCAGTTGTATATTGGTATCACGTTGCCATCGTCCGAAGACATTTGGTTTCCCGACAATAACTTTAGTATATGTAAATAGAAATCTATGAAATTTAAACACAAGGTTTATAACCACAAAAGGAAGGTTGTGATTGATTTTGGGGGTTTTGGTCCTAACAGTTTAGGAATTGGGGGCCTGTATAAGCATTTTTCTAGTTTCCAGACAATAACTTGTGGAAAGGTGTATTGATCTCTCTGAAATTACCACAAGTTTCCATACCACAAAGGGATGGTTAGAATTGGCTATGGGGGGTTATGGCTCAAACCGTTTAGGAATAAGGGGCAAAAAAGGGGTGAAAACAAGGGTTTCCTGGTTAACGGACAATTACTAAAAAGTACAATTTAATGTTTGGATTACCTCCCTTACACTACTTTTAAATTATGTATAAAGAAATGTTGTTTTGTCTTGAGGTGATTAGCTGTGAATTTATTTTTAGAAGTTACTATTAAAAATGCTGATTAAGGAATATTAATTTTAGCCATGATTATGTATGTCATTTTCTATTATAAGACTTTTATGATGTATTTAAATGGGTAATTATGGTTGCAAACTCCATTGGAAATTTTGCCAAAAAAGGGGGGGGTCAATTCACAACAGCATAGTGTATTGCACAAAAGCAAAAAAAAGGGGGGGGGGGGGGGGGGGGTAAAATTTGTTTTGTTTTTTTTGGGGGAGAGGTCAATTCGCAACAGCATAGTGTATTGCACAAAAGCAAAAAATTGAATATAAATTCAAATCATATAACCAATTATAAGTTCTTTGACTACAGTTATTCTGTGTTAGAAACCTATTATCTGTCAAATATTTAATTACAATCCAAATTCAGACCTGTATCGAGCACGAATATTGTGTCCATTTTTGCCCCAACTGTTCAGGGTTGGACCTCTGCGGTTGTATCCAGCTGCACTCGGCGAAGCAATTTATTTGCCTTATATCTTGAAAACTCTAATAGAAAGCCCGCTGAAAGAAACTTTAAAAAAAGGATCAAAACAAGATCTACAAATAAGTCAACTAAATATTGTCTCCTGCGACGAATGTAGAAATTTTAGACAGGGAATACAATCTGGCAGCAAGGGTGTAAACTATTTCAGAAGGTAAAAGACCTGGATGCTTCATACCTTATGATACGAAATTATGTCTCGTATGTCCATTGTCCTAGACCTCATTTTAATGGTTCAGTGACTCCTTGAAAAAAATGTAAAGTTTTTTGTCATGTGAAATACTCACTTGTGAGTAATAGGATAATTATATTTCGTATATGGGATCCATAGAAAGTCAAACAGGGTTCACCTGACCACCGCCTCATTTCATGGATCAGTAATCAAGATGGAAGTTTTCGTGGTCAAGTCTCTCTCTAAGATACTATAAGCAATAGGTCGACCATTATTGGTGTATGGGATGATTGTAAAGTGTACATATTTTTCTGGCAGGTTTCATCTGACCTTGACCTTATTTTCACGGTTCCTTGGTCAAATCATTTTTTTTCTGATCTGGTCTATTTCGTTTATGGAATGATTACATGGAGTACATGTTGTCTGCAAGTATCCATCTAATCATGAGCTTGTTTTCATGCTTCTTTTGTCAATGTTAGGTTTTCATGGTTCTTTTGTCAATGTTTTTATGGTTTTGTCCGTTTATAAGATACTATAAGCAGTTGGTCAACTGTATTTGGTGTGTGGAATGCTTGTAAGGTGTACATGTCTATCTGGAAGGTTTCATCTGACCTCAACCTCATTTACATTGATCATTGATAATGTTAAGTTTATTGGATACGTGTTGTAAATCCTTCATATTACAGACTTTCAATCACATAAATTCAATCATAGATGAGGCTAGCGAGATATTACAGCGTGTGCACTCTTTGTTAAATGCGACACTTACTGATTTCAATCATCATTTTCATGGTTCATTGGTTTATTTTTGTCCCCCGCGCAACGCGTTGTTGGGGACATAGACCTACCGGGCGTCTGTCCGTTTGTTCTTGTTAGCGCTATCATTTGTACAATTCTTGCCAGATTTTTATGAAACTTATTTCAAAGGTTTATATTAGCAATGTCTTGGACGAGTTCGAAAATCAGTGTCGATCAATTATTTTTAAAAGAGTTATGTCCTTTAAAAACATTTAGCGCTCTCATGTGTTCAATTGTTGCCAGATTTTTATGAAACTTATATCATAGGTTTCTATCAGCAATATCTTGGACGAGTTCGAAAATCAGTGCCGATCAATCATTTTTGAAAGAGTTTTGCCCCTTAGAAACATTGATTAAATGGAAAATTGCAGTTAGAGCTCTCATGTGTTCAATTCTTGCCAGAATTTCACAAAACTTATCATAGGGTTATATCAGCAATGTCTTTGACACGAAAGTAAGTTCTGATCAAATATTTTTATACGACCGCAAAAATAAAAATTTTTTGGTCGTATATTGGTATCACGTTGTCAATAACTTTAGTATAAGCAAATAGAAATCAATAAAATTTTAACACAAGGTTTATAACCACTAAAGGAAGGTTGGGATTGATTTTGGGGGTTATGGTCCCAACTGTTTAGGAATTAGGGGCCCAAATAAGCATTTTTGTAGTTTCCAGACAATAACTTGTGTTAAAAAGTGTATGAATCTCTCTGAAATTATACCACAAGTTTCCATACTACAATGGGATGGTTAGGATTGGCTCAAACCATTTGGGAATTAGGGGAATAACAAGGGTTTTTCTGGTTAAAGGACAATTGAGACAATTTAAAAGCAGTGTAAGGGAGGTAATCCAAATCCAAATCAATTTAAATAGCAATGTTTGATTACCTCCCTAACACTGCTTGTAAATTATGTATAAAGAAATGATTTTTGTCTGAGATACTGACCATAACTTAAGGGAAAAAAAATATTTTTTGGAATAAGGGAAAGGGGAAGGTGAAAAAAATTGGAGGGGGACAATTTTTCTCATTTCAGATTTCAGAAATTAAAAAAAAATTTCTTCAAATATTTTTTTTTTGGGGGGGGGGGGGGGGGGTTAATATTCAACAGCATAGTGTATTGCACAAACGCAAGAAAACGGGGTTAATTTTTTTTTTGGGGTGGGGGGGGGGGGGGCAATTCGCATAGTGTAGTGCACAAAAGCAAAAAATTGAATATAAATTCAAATCATATAACCAATTTGAAGTTCTTTGACTACATTTATTTTGTGTCAGAAACCTATTATGTGTCAAAAATTTAATTACAATCCAAATTCGACCTGTATCAAGCGTGAATATTGTGTCCATTTCGGCCCCAACTTTTCAGGGTTGGACATCTGCGGTTGTATCCAGCTGCGCTCAGCGAAGCAATTTATTAACGAGTTATGCCCCTTGGAAATATAAATTAAAATGGAAATCACATTGCATTTGCTCTGAAGCCTTCATTTCTCTAAGATATTAATAAAAAGTTTTAAAGAACCATAAAAAAGTGCTTTTTGTCTTGCCTGCGATGGAAGTCGCAGTATGCGAGACATAGGTATTACTATCTGGCGGCGGCGGCGTAAGCTATTTGTATAAAGCTTTATATTTCAGAAGGTAGAAGACCTGGATGCTTCATACCTTGTATGCAGATACCTTATGTGACGAAGTTTCCGTCTGTCATATGCCAATTGTCCTTGACCTCATTTTCATGGTTCAGTGACTGCTTAAAAAAAAAATAGTTTTTTTGTCATGTGAATTTCTCACTTATTATGAGTAATAGGATAACTATATTTGGTATATGGAATCCTTGCAACGTGTACATGTCCGTCATACAGGGCTTAGTTTATTAGGTCTTTCCACCTTTCCGTGGAAAGACCTATTGGTTTTCTT